AAACCCCGTCTCTACTAAAAATAATACAAAAAGCTAGCCGGGCGAGGTGGCGGGCGCCTGTAGTCCCAGCTACTCGGGAGGCTGAGGCAGGAGAATGGCGTGAACCCGGGAGGCGGAGCTTGCAGTGAGTCCAGAACGCGCCACTGCACTCCAGCCTGGGCAACGGAGCAAGACTCCGTCTCAAAAAAAAAAAAAAAAAAATACATATATATATATATATATGTATAAGCATCTATAAATTCAAAAGCCTGGTTAGACCAACATGTAAATGAACATGTTAATAATTGTTAATAGGTTGTATGGAAACCTTAGTTCCGTGTGAAGGTGGCATGTTACTGCTTTTTTTTCTTTTTAGATAAATGACATTTCTTTCTTTCTTTTTTTTTTTTTTTAAGACGGAGTCTTACTCTGTTGCCCAGACTGGAGTGAAGTGGCATGCTCTCGGCTCACTGCAACCTCCACTTACCTGGTTCAAGCAATTCTCCTGCCTCAGTGTCCCCTAGTAGCTGGGATTACAGGTTTACACCACCATGCCTGGCTAATTTTTGTATTTTTAGTAGAGACGGGGTTTCGCCATGTTGGCCAGCCGGTCTCGAACTCCTGACCTCAGGTGGTCCACCTGCCTCAGCCTCCCAAAGTGTTGGGATTACAGGCGTGAGCCACCGCCCCCAGCCTAGATAAATGATATTTCTGTTTAAATTCTGTGCAAAATTCTATAGCAAAATATATGCATTATCTCATCATTTTATTCCTATCAAGACATAGAATATTTAGGAAGATTAGAGGATTTTAGGGATTGATTTTTTTAAACATGATAACTTGTTTGCTGTTGAGTTGTTCAGAATTTTTAGGATTTAGGAAATCTTTGTTTCAGAAAGATTTAGGAAGAATCTTTTGTGACTATTAGCAAATTAAAAATGGCTGAAATAGGCCGGGCATGGTGGCTTATGCCTGTAATCCCAGCACTTTGGGAGGCCAAAGCGGGCAGATCATGAGGTCAGGAGATAGAGACCATTCTGGCTAACACAGTGAAACCCCGTCTCTACTAATAATACAAAAAAATTAGCTGGGCATGGTGGTGGGCACCTGTAGTCTCAGCTACTCGGGAGGCTGAGGCAGGAGAATGGTGTGAACCCAGGAGGCAGAGCTTGCAGTGAGCCGAGATTGCACCACTGTACTCCAGCCTAGGTGACAGAGCGAGACTCCGTCTCAAAAAAAAAAAAAAATGCTGAAATAAGCTGAATGTGATGGCTGGCAGTTGTAATTCCAGTGATTCTGGTGGCCAAGGTGGGAGGATCACTTGAGCTTAGGAGTTCAGAGTTACAGTGAACTATGATCGTGCCACTGCACACCAGCCTGGGCAGCAGAGTGAGACCTCATCTCTAAAAAACAAAAAACAACAAAAGAAATTGACCAGAATGTATCAACTTTTGTTGATTTGAAATATATTTTGCTAAAACTATATATGTAAATATATATATTTTTTAATTTTTAATTTTTTTTTTTTTGAGATTGGGTCTTGCTTTGTTGCCCAGGCTGGAGTCCAGTGGCATGCTCATAAGCTCACTGTAGCCTTGATCTCCTGGGCTCAAGTGATCTAATCCTCCTGCCTCAGCTTCCCCAATAGCTGGGACGACAGGATGCACCACCATGCCTGGCTAATTTTTTTTATTTTTATTTTTAGTAGAGATGAGATCTTACTATGTTGCCCATGCTGGTCTTGACCTCCAGCGCTCAAGTGATCCCACCTTGGCCTCTCAAAGTGCTGGGATTACAAGTGTGAGCCACCAAGCCCAGCCTAAAGCTATGTTTTAAAATCAGTGTTTCGTTTGGTAGTAAATAATAGCATGAAGTTTACATTAGGTACTGTTTACCAGTTATAAGTTTCAACATATTCTTTTAGGTAAAGCCTGCTTTTCTACAATTATGTGTGTGTATATATATATTTTACAAATTATTATTATCCCAAACATTAAGTTCAGTGGATGCTTTTTTTCTTTAACTTGCTTGCATTTGATACTGTTCACTAGTTCTATTTTGTATCTCTCCTCTTTTCCTCAACTAATTATGCTGATTGGGTTTGTTTCATGTCCCTGTTTTAATTATTATTTAATTATTCCTTTTTTTTTTTTTTTTTTCCCAGCTTCAATTCTTCTGTCACTCCCTCAAGTGAACACTGGCTGTTGTTTAGTTCTGGGTCATCTCTCTTTTTCCCTGTCTGTGCTCATTTACTGTGGCTTCAACTGTTATCTTTAAAATACATAGTTAATGTAGTTCATTTTCTTGAATTTGAATCTTAAATTTATAACCATCTACTGGAAATTTCCAGTAGCACATCTTACTAGCTCCAACTTTTTAACATATGTAAACCAAACCTTTCTAAATCTTCCAACTTGCTCTGACTTACTTCTGTCCAAGATTCTATCCACATTTAGCTTCCAGGCCTTAAAACGTTGATCATTAGTGGCTTCTTTTTTTTCTACGTACCCAATTAGATGCTAACTTTCATGGGACTTTGGAAGATGTGTTTGGAAAAAAATTCTAGGTTAAATGAAGAAAGGTTAGTCCTTTCAAAAAATGGTGCTGGAATACTCTATTCATATGCAAAAAAGTTGAGTCTTGACCCTTACAGATTTGCAAAAATTAACTTTGAATGGATCATAGACTTAAATGTAAGAGAAAAAACTAAAAACTTCTAAAAGGAAACATAAAAGAAAATATTTGTGATCTTGGGTTAGGCAAAGATTTTTTTTAGCTGGGCACGGTGGCTCACGCCTGTAATCCCAGCACTTTGGGAGGCCGAGGCAGGCGGATCACGAGATCAGGAGATCGAGACCATCCTGGCTAACACGGTGAAACCCCATCTGTACAAAAAATACAAAAAAATTAGCTTGGCGTGGTGGCATGTGCCTGTAGTCCCAGCTACTCAGGAGGCTGAGGCAGGAGAATTGCTTGAACCCGAGAGGCGGAGGCTGCAGTGAGCCAAGATTGCGTTACTGCACTCCAGCCTGGGCGACAGAGCAGGACTCAGTCTCAAAAAAAAAAAAAAATTTTTTTTTAGATAGGACACAAAAAGTACAAACAATAAATTAAAAAACTGATGAAAAAATTGTTAAATTGGACTTGATAAAAATTTAAAACTTTCACTGTTAAAAATATATCAAGAAAACTTACAAAGCACAGATTGGCAGAAAATATTTTTACAAAGCAAGTTTTGTAAAATGTTGCTTTGTAAAAATAAATCAAGTTTAATAAAGGACTTTTATTAAGTATATATAAAGAAATCTTACAATTTAATGGTAATAAAACAACCTGCTGGGCTTCGTGGCTCATGCCTGTAGTCCAAACACTTTAGGAGGCCGAGGCAGGAGTATCACTTGAGTCCAGGAATTGAATGGGTAACATTGAGCTGTGATCATACCACTCTAGCCTGGGCAACATAGTGAGATCCTGTGTCTGCAATAAACAAACAAATGAAAAAACTAGCTGGGGATGGTGGTGCTTACCTATAGTCCTAGTTGTTCAGGAGGCTGAGGTGGAAGGATTGCTTGAGCCCAGGAGTTCAAGGCAGAAGGTACACTATGATGGCAACACTGCACTCCAGCCTGGGAAACAACGTGAGAGCCTGTCTCAAAAAAAAAAAAAAAAAAAAAAGAAAGAAAGAAAAGCTAATTTTAACAAAAGGTCAGATCTGAGTAGATACTTTCCCAATGATTATATGTATGGTAAATAAATAGATGAAAAGATGCTCAACATCATAGTTCTCAGAGAAATGCAGATTAAAACCTCACAGAGATGCCACTAAATACACAATAGAATGACTAAGATAAAAATGACTGAAAATATCACACCTTGGCAAGAATGTGTAGAAATTGCAATTGTCATTACAACCCACATACATTCTTATACATTGGAATGTAATATGGTACTTTATACTTTGAGGAACAGTTTAGCAGTTCAGAAATTAGACAACATCTTGACCATATGATAAAAAATACTATCACTAACGAGGGGCAGGTAAATATCATGTGCCTTCTTTTTGTGACACCTTGAAATTTCACCTAATATATCTGATGAGAATGCATATTCTAAATTTAGTCATGAAGAAACATCAGGCACATCCCAGATAAGGGATGTTCTATTGTAAAGGTTGTTCTATTACACAGGATTCTTTCACCTGTGTAAATTGGTAAAAGACAAAAAGATGGTAGAGACAGATATTCCAAATTAAATAAGGCAAAAGAGATATAACAGGGAAATGCAATCAATACCTAACTTAGATGGGGTCCTGAATTAGAGAAAATAGGCTCTAAAGGCTGCTATTGAGTCAGTTGACAAAAGTGGAATATGGACAATAGATTAAAAAATCAGTGTTACAAAAGTTGATAATTATGTTGAGGTTATATAAGAAAATAACCCAGTTCTTAAGACACACACACTGAAGAGCTTAGGGGCAAAGGGCTATGATATATGTACTTTATTTTCTGAATAATTTTAGAAAAAATTGTGTGTATAGAGAGAATGACCTTGTGTGCACAAGCAAAGGATGAAGCAAGTGGAGCAAAATCTTAATAGGGAATTAATAAAGAATCTTTGTATGTTCTTGGTATTATTACTGTAACTTCTCTGTAAGTCAGAAATTATCTCCCAATAGTTAAAAAAAACTTTTTATTTTATTTATTTATTTTTAAAGTGCTTTGGCTTAAGGATTTAAAGAACTTTTTGTTTGCTTGCCTTTGTTTTTTGCCGGGGAGGGGGTGTATATGGAGGGTGGTGGTAGTTTTTCATTTTCTTTTTATTTCAGATATTTTAAAGTATATTGTAGGCTTTTTGGGGAAGTTGGGAGAGGCAGTAGGCAGGCGTATTTATGATCAATCTTAAGTTTGAATTTCTCAATTTGATAAGTGAGATTGAAAACTAAATGTGGGCTAAGTCTACATGTTGATAATTAGGCTAAAAATACTGTGATACAGATATGCTCATTGAAATTTTTTTAAAAGAATCTGCAAAATGGCTGATAATTTGGATGAATTTATCGAAGAGCGAAAAACCAAATTGGCCAAAGACAAAGCAGAGTTGGAAAGTGATCCACCTTACATGGAAATGAAGGTAAACTTAATAATTTTCTTTGAACATGTTTTATTATAATTGTCTATGGAGATTACTCCTGTGTAAATGCAAAATATCCTCTTCTATGAGTGAGAATCTTCTGTTTCGTTCTATGCTGTCATTCTGGGAGCCTAACTCCAGACAGGATTGCAATAATTTTGAATGCAGTTTTTATTTTGTGGTGGTTTATATCTCACAGTGTTTCTCTTATCTCTTGTTGAAGAATTATTTGGTTTATAAAATGATTATGAGACCAGTTCCATTACAAAGAACTTCCGCAACATAAACAGAATAGTTGTAAAAGCAAGTTCTTATGGTCTGTGTGAAAAAATTCGATTTAATTAGTTTAAAAAGTTTTTTTGAAATCTACAAAAGTGAGTTTATTAATTTATTTCGTACTATTTGTATTTCTTAATATAAATTTCTTAAAATAATTTTTTTTTTTTTTTTTTTTTGAGATAGAATCTCACTCTGTTGGCCAGACTGGACTGCAGTGGTGTGATCTCAGCTCACCACAACCTCCGCCTCCCAGGCTCAAGTGATTCTTCTGCCTCAGCCTCATGAGTAGCTGGGACTATAGGTGCCCGCCACTATGCCTGGCTAATTTTTGTATTTTTAGTAGAGTTGAGGTTTCTCTATGTTGGCCAGGCTGGTCTTGAAGTCCTGACCTCGAGATCCACCCACCTCGGCCTCCCAAAATGCTGAGATTACAGGCGTGAGCCACTGCACCCAGCCTAAAATAATTGTTTCTTAAAGCAATGTCTGAAAGGCTTTCTTAAAGCTTTCCTTGTTTAGGTGAAACTGATTTATCCATTTAGCAAATACTTACTGAGATTGTGTTAGGTACTATGCTAAGCTCTGAGAATACAGCCCTGATTAGAGTGTTGTGGCACCTTCTCAGGGCTCAGTGTGTGTAATAAGATACAGCATGTAGTTTAATCTGTGTCATATGGTTCATCATAATGAAAGTCACCATATATATTGGTTTGTTCAAGATAATCCTGGTTTACCTGTTGTCCAGTGTTTTTTTCTGGTTTAGCATTTGTCCTGGACAAAGGTATCTTGGCTGAAATGACAAATACTATAGATGCTCTAATTACAATTTTACTTACATGGCTAACATTTATTGAGTACTAGCTATGGACAAGGCATATTCTTAAGAGGTTATATTTCACAGTAATCTATGAGGTAAGTGCTGTTATTGTAATTTTCCAGATGAGTAAACTGAGGCAAGTTAAGTAATGAGACTAAAGCAGTAGAGTTGGTGGAACTAGGCTTTGATCCCTGGCAGCCTGGCTCCAGTGCTTGTCCTCGGAACCAACATAATAGGTTGCCTTTCTTCCATAATAACCTGTCATGTACCAGGAATGCCAAGGACTTTATATGTATCATTTTATTTAATCATAATATCCCTGTTAAGTAGGTGAAAATTTTTTGTTTTATGGATTAAGAAAGTGAAGCTCACAGGAGTTAAGTAATTTGTCCAGGTCCACACAGTGGTGGATTGAGGAGTAGAACCTTTATGCAGCTCCAGAGTCTATCTCTTAACCACTCTCCAGTGTTTAGGACCAGCTTATGGCTTTGGAGTTACATAATTTGGAGTACATAGCTTTAAAGACAGTTTTGCTATAATTTCTAATATTAATTTGTACATAAGTAATTTTAAGTCTTGGTTCAAGTATCACCTGCTCAGTGAGGCCTTGTAGTCCCTCCCCCACCATTTCTGGGCCTCCTTACTTTAATCTGTTTTCTTTTCCCATAACCCCTTGCTGCCACTGTCTATATATCACGTAATCTAATCATGAGTTAATTATGTGTCCCCCCAATAGTTTATAAGCTTCATGATGGCAGAAATTCTTGTATTTTTTAAAACTTACATACTTTCAACGCTTGACAAAATGTTTGGCACTTAATAGGAACTCAGTAAATATTTGTTGGTAAGTGAATGAGTTAAATATTAGAATATCTGTTATAAAATCAAATACCTTTGGTTAATTCTTCAAACCTTACACTTAGTTTCTTTTATGATGTACTGTGTAATTTCATCAAGCTGTTTAATTAAAATTTGAGGTGGGTTGTATATTTCATGGTTTTTTTTTTCCCCTTTGATTTTGTAAACTTTATGTCTCTTTCAGGACAAGTTGTCAGAGAAGCTTTCTGAAAACAGTAAGATACTGATCTCTATGGCTAAAGAAAACATACCACCAAATAGTCAACAGACCAGGGGTTCCTTAGGTATGTCATTAGATGTGCTAAACTTCTTTTAAGATATTCTTAGTGGGCTCTTCTGAAAGAGGTTTGTCTTATCAGAAAAAAAGATTTATTTGGAATCCTAGTAATTTTTCTTTCTGGAATCTTATATAAGTCAATATGGTCTACATATGAAATATAACTCATACTGAAAACTTTGTACTTGTTTTATGTGATACTGCATTAGTTATGATTTGTGGAACTTATAGAAGTAGTTGTATATAACATAACTTTAAAAATTGAAAACTTTGAAAGGAATTTGTGTGTGTGTGTGTGTGTGAGTACGAGGGAGAGAGAGAGAAGAGAAACTTTTATTTGTTGACTGAAAATGGTGAACTTGCTCATTTAAAAATTAAATATGCTTAAAGGGTACAAAATGCTGTTTGGTGAAAGACTGTTTTAATTATTGATGATCATGTTGGAGTTGTAAAGAAGTTAATACTGTAGCCATACTAATGCTTTGATTATGGTATGGTATGAAAATATTTGGAAACTTTTTACCACATTTTGGCTTGTTGATAGGTATACATTTTTAAAAAAGAAAATGTATGAATACGTAAAAATTTTTGTTTATTTATTAAATACAGGGTCTCTCTCACCCAGGCTGGAGTGCAGTGGCATGATCATAGTTCAGTATTACCTTGAACTCCTGGGTTCAAGCAATCCTCCTGCCTCGGCCTCCCGAAGTACTACGATTATAGGCCTGAGCCACTGTGCCCAGTCTGTATGAATATATATATATATATATATATTTTTTTTTTTTTTCCCCCCCAAGGCTGAGTCTGGCCCTGTTGCCCAGGCTGGAGTGCAGTGGCATGATCTCGGCTCACTGCGACCTCTACCTCCTCCCAGGTTCAGGCGATTCTCCTGTCTCAGCCTCTCAAGTAGCTGAGATTACAGGTGCATGCCACCACACTCAGCTAATTTTTTATATTTTTGGTAGAGACAGGGTTTCGCCATGTTGGCCAGGCTGGTCTTGAACTCCTGACCTCAGGTGATCTGCCCACCCACCTCGGCCTCCCAAAGTGCTGGGGTTACAGGCGTGAGCCACTGTGCCTGATCTGTATCTGTATGAATATTTTTAGTGTGCATTTTGTGATTTATTGATGATGACAAACTTTTTCACAAAAAGAAAGTCAACTATGATAAGTTCATTTGGATAAAGCATTGTTCTCAAATGGACAGCTTTTCATGTCTGTAGGTATACTCCTAAATTGTTTTTGTGTGCCAGTGGATACAAGGGGATGCCAGCCAAGAAACTGAATGGTTAGTAAGCTTTGTCTCTCCATTAGACAAATAGCTCAAAGTGAGTGCCCTACTTTTAATATCAGATATACGGATAACTTTCCATTTTGAATCTCTTATAAATTATTAATATGTAACATGAGTGAACTAAAGTATTATATATTGGTAAAATTTTTTAATCTCTAAGGCTCTCAATTTTTTTTCTGTGAAATAAGTTTGATTATCTTCCAGTGCTATGTTTTTATGAATCTAAATTTTAATTATTCCAAGAGATAATTTTTAAAAAGTTTAATAGTAGGTTATCTCAAGCACTAAGGTCGCTAAGGTTCATCAGAATCCGTTTTAAATTCTAGGGTTACAGCTTGCTTTGGATTGGGCTGTGGCACCTTTATGACCTCTCAGGAGCTAAACTTTGTTTCCTTATGACATCTATTTCAAAAAGTCGTTATGGGTGAAAGTTAAATATGTGAAAAGATGGCTGGCACATAATTGGTACACAATAAATATTAATTTCTTTTTCTCCTTTACATCTTTTTTTTTTTTTTTTTGGTGAGACAGGGTCTTACTCTGTCACCCAGGCTGGAGTGCGGTGGCATAATCTTGGCTCACTGCAACCTCCACTTTCCAGGCTTAAGTGATTCATCCTCCCTCCTCAGCCTCCAAGTAGCTGAGACTACAGGTGAGCACTACCATGCTGGCTGACTTTTTTATATATACACATATTTTCTGTAGAGGTAGCATTTTGCTGTGTTGCCCAGGCTGGTCTCGAACTCCCTAGCTCAAGCCATCCACCTGCCTCGGCCTCCCAAAGTTCTGGAATTACAGGTGTGAGCCACTTGTGCCTGGCCTTCCATCTTTTTAAAAGTAGTTTTTCGGGCTGGGCATGGTGGCTCATGTAATCCCAACACTTTGGGAGGCCAAGGCCAGCAGATCACTTGAGGTCAGGAGTTCAAGACCAGCTGGCCAACATGGTGAAACCCCGTCTCTACTAAAAATACAAAAAAATTAGCCCAGCATGGTGGCGCAAGCCTATAATCCTAGCTACTTGGGAGGCCGAGGTGGGAGGATCACTTGAACCTAGGAGGTGGAGGTTGCTGTGAGCTAAGATTGTGCCCCTGCATTCCAGCCTGGGCGACAGAGAGACTCCATCTCAATTAAAAAAAAAAAAATGTAGGTTTTTGAATTGTCTTAGGAATTATTCTTTGATTATTACATTCACATATGATGGAGAGTTAAAAGTATAACTAAAAGATGGTGACCTTTGCCTTTTCATTAATTGGTGTTACTTGGGCCTCTGACCTAGGCCGACTTCTCATCTTATACACTCCCCGAGTGTCCATATCCGCTCACACGGCTTTATTTACTATTAGTGTGTTCATGACTTCTGAATCTTTATCCCAGTCCTAGGTTCTATTGTGAACTTGATCCATATGTCTGATTTTCTATTGGACATCTGTACTTGTATGGTCATGTATGGCATGGGCTCAAAATCAAAATTTGCAAAATTAACTTATACTCATGTCAAACTTTCAAGTGCTCCCCATCTCACTGAGCTGGCTGCCTAGTCATCCTTGATTCCTGTCATCTCCTGTCTCCTATATCAAGCAGTTACACAAGTCTAGTTGATTCTGATGCGTAAATCTCAAATAAGGTCACTTGACTGTAATCCCACTGACTTTCTTTTATGCAGGCCTCTGTTGTCTGTAAGATTTTTGTAAAAGCTTCCTAGTGTTTTTGGTGGTTGTTTTGTTTTACAGTCTAGCCCCCTCTACCAAATTGCTGTGTGTTTTTTATATATTTGCATAAAACAAATCTGATCATATTAGTCTCTGCGTCAAACTTCTTTTTTTCTTGTATGATAAATGTTCCATCTTATTATTTCTGCTAGATTGGGTTGGTCAATCCTGTCATGTGCTTCTAGAGGATTGGTTTTCCTTTTGAAGAGTAGTTTTGAACTCATTCAGCTTCTCTTTTGTACCACAGTGACATGCTAACTTGCCTCCTATTGTATTTCCACTGCCTAGCACAGTGTGCAGCACTTACTGCTTGGAAAAGATGTTTTAAACCAACGAGTTAATGTCCCCATTGCAAAAATAAAACCAATTCTCTTTGGTGTGTTGACTTTGATTTTCATGGAATGCTTCTTCCATTGCCATCTGAAACCATAATTAATAATTTTTGATGCACATGGAATTTTATTAAAGAACAGTATATAATTTGACTAATTTTATACCGCATAAGCTTTAGTTACTGACCTCCTGCTTGATTAATTGTGGCTTTAAAATTCAGTCAAATACATAGTTTCTCACACTGGGAAAAATGTAAAATTATTTGGCAACTAAGGGTTTTCCTTAAGTGGTCTCATTTAGAAATTATAAAAAACAGGTCTAATGTAGGTCAAATTTGGAAATGAGGTATTGACTTAAAGCACTGTAATATCATAGTTTGAATAAGTAATTAAGCATAGTGTAGTAATCAGTGATATATAAACTGGACATACTCATTTTATCCAATGAAAACAATCTTTGATAGCTCATAGTACAACTATCATACAACACTATGATTTTATAAATTCTTTTCTGTTAGATACTGATGATATTCATGGTTAATTCCATGTGATTCTTTCTACCACTATTTATACCTTTCATAAAAGGATTCGAGGTAGCATTACAGTGACTTGGACCAGACTTCACAGGTTAAGGGCATAGGCCTCCACAAGACTGCCTTCACTTTAGACTCCAGTTGCAAATCCAAGGGTCACCAGGACACCCTCAGGTCTGACCATCTGGCTATAAATTTGGGGGTTTCCCCCATCCCCTCAAGTTCAATAATTCATAAGAATGACTCACAGAACTCAAGAAAGTGCTATATTTAATGGTCACAGTTTTATAGCATAAGTATACAAATCAGAACTAGGCAAAGGGAGAGACAAATAGGGTAAGCTCTGGGAGGGTCCAAACATGAAGTATCTGTTAGTCTCAGGGAGGCATTACCCTCCTGGCACATCAGTATGTGACAGGATACAGCATATTGCCAACCAGCCTCACCTGAGCCTGAGTGTCCAGAGTTTTTACTGGATTTTCCTTATGTAGGAATGATTGGTTGAATCATTGCTTCTTGGCTTGATCTCCAGCCCTGCTACATTCATTCCCCTTGCGCCTGGCTGATGTCACCTGGCACAAAGGCCCAACCCTCAAATCACATGGTTGGTTTTTCTGGCATGACCAGCTCCCATTTTTGTCATCTCTGTAGTGTAAACTCTCTGGGGGTTCACAATGATTGACTTTGTTAGTATAAACTGTTAGGTGTGGTCCAGGGTACCCACTGTGAATAATAAAGATGTTCCCATCATCGGGTAAATTTTAAGGTCAAACCCACTAGGGGCTCACAATGATTTACCTTGTTAGTGTAAACTATTAGGTGTGGTCCAAGGTGCCCACCGTGAATAATAAAGACCTTCCCATTGTGTGGAAAATTTTAAGGATTTAGAGGTTACTTCCCAGGAAATAGAGGCAAAGGCCATTTACTTTTTTTTCTTTTTTCTTTTCCAAGCCAAGAGAAAGTAACAGTCCAGTTTTTTTATTACATGTAGGATGTACATGATTTAGTTCATATAAGCTAATGAAACAATGTCTTTAATAAGGAGTTTGTCAGAATAACTCACATACTAGTAATATTAAGAGAAAGTCACCTAAAAGTGATCTATAAAAGATCTTTTATCTCCCTAAACTGTTTCTAGGCATAATATTTGTGTTTATTTCATTAAAAGAAATTCTTACTAACTTATTGTTTAACAACCATTACTGTTATTAACAATAATCAATATTGTTGAGAAATACTTACATTAATCTTTTAAATGCTCCCATTAATCTTTTTAAAATGATACAAATTTGTGAAGGTCCTAAAACATATAGTTCCCCCCACCACCCAGTTTTTTTAAGGGAGAGGGTCTTGCTCTGTCATCCAGGCTGGTGTGCAGTGGCACCATAATAGCTTACTGTAGCTTAAAACTCCTGGGCTCTGGGGATCTTCCTGCCTCAGCCTCTCGACTAGCTAGGACTATAGGCTCAGGCCACCATGCCCGACTAATTTTTAAATTTTTTGTAAAGATAGAGTCTTGCTATGTTGCCCAGGCTGGTTTTGAACTCTTGGGTTCAAACGATCCTCCCTTCTCTGGCTCCTAAGTAGTTGAGACTATAGGTTTGTGCCACTGCATCTGTCTAATTATAGTTTTAATTACTTGTTTTGAGACGGAGTCTCGCTCTGTTGCCCAGCCTGGAGTGCAGTGGTGCTGTCTCGGCTCACTGCAACCTCTGCCTCCTGGGTTCAAGTGATTCTCCTGCCTCAGCCTCCTGAGTAGCTGGGATTACAGGTGCTTGCCACCACACCCAGCTACTTTTTTTGTGCTTTTCATAGAGACGGGGTTTCACTATCTTGGTCAGGCTGGTCTCGAACTCCTTACCTCAAGTAATCCACCCACCTCGGCCTCCCAAGGTGCTGGGATTACAGGTGTGACCCACAGCACCCAGGCTTATAGTTTTAATTATCAGTCCTCTTAGTCTTAGGTTTATCCTGTTGTAAACTAAATCACAGATACTCTTCTACAGTTTTTATTCATTTTGTATGAGTCAAATGGGTCCTTGTAGTAATACCTTTATAGCTGTAATTTAAGAGTGCAGTGTCTCCTCAATTAGTCACATCTCCTTGTAAGTCACCCATTATGTAAAGGCCTATTATTATGTCCTATAATTTGTCTTTCGATTATTTTTACATAATGCTTTTTATGATAGTATAATAATGAAAAGAAAGTAAAAGTTCCATGGTAATCTGTTTCATAGAGTAATTATGATGAATGCCCTGTTAGAAGGTAAGTTAATTTTAAAGAAGTTATATACTTTAGTCTTAAGTATTTTATGTAAGCCATAACTGCTATAGAAACCAATTACTTCTAATTACTATAGTTCTGAAGTATAATGTTAACTATCTTAGGGTCATTGATGTTATACTTGATGAAGTGACATCACTTCAAATGACCCTAAAGTGACACGAATGCTTTACTTGCTACTAGATCCACCAGAAGACAACAGCCCAATAAGTAAGCCTCACCGTGTTCCTTAGCTCATTACGTCAATTGAGATGTTACTGTTAATGCATGGTTTAAAAGAATAGGATATTTACATTGTTCTATACAGTTCCTAATTTTATATCTGTGACTTAGCTCTAACGCCATAAAATGGTACAAGATGACAAAAATAAGAATGAAAAAGTTAGTGTTTTCTGTTGACTAAACATTAAATTAATAAAGTTATAAATAACTTAGAAGAGATTATATATTTATATATATTTTATTATATAAAATTGTTAAGACAATTTTATAATACTATTTGAATTAATAGTGAAAAGCAAATACTGTTAGTAAATAAAACTTTAACTTAATATGAATAATAGGCTGGGTGCAGTGGCTGATGCCTGTAATCCCAGCACTTTGAGAGGCCGAGGTGGGCGGATCATGAGGTCAGGAGTTTGAGACCAGCCTGGCCAATATGGTGAAACCCTGTCTCCACTAAAAATATGGAAATTAGCCAGGGGTGGCAGGTGCCTGTAATCCCAGCTACTTGAGAGGCTGAAGCAGGAGAATCACTTGAACCCGGGAGGCGGAGGTTGCAGTGAGCCAAGATTGCGCCACTGCACTCCAACCTGGGCAACAGAGCGAGACTTCTTCTCAAAATATATATATATATATATGAGTAATAATTTAAATGAAAATGAATTATGTTTTTCTTTCCATTCTTCCACATAAACCCACCCAGTAGAATTGAAAAACAGCAGTAAAAGCCACCTTAAACATATGCTTTTTGTAAATTTGTAAATTGCTTGTTCCTGGATGGGAAGGCAGTGTGTTGGCATCATCCTGGCAGCATTGTTGTCTTTTTCTCCTTGGCATAATAGAACATCCATTGTGACCCTGTGTGACTAGTGATATGTAACTTTGGTAACTAACTCTCTCTGTGCAGTCAGACCGCTAACAGGAGAAATGGAATATTAAGTATAGTATATTGTTCCCCCTCACCTTTTCTCATTTCTTTCTCTGGCTCAGGCACTCATGCATATATTCATTTGCAGATTTATTCGATGAACATTTTCTTGGGTTAAAGTTATGTGCCAGCATTATAAAATTGAATAGTGTGTGGACCTTGCCTTCATAGATTTTATAGTTTAGTTTTATATATGATGTTCCATTCTGAACATGAGAATCGAAACTTTCTCTCCTTAGGCTTAAATTCTGTATCTTTAAAAAAAGGTTTAGATTCCTTCAAGAGGAAACAGTTCCTTTCTAGGATGATTTAAAATTCCCAGCATATGGAATGCTTTAGTTTCTTTTGGAAGAGAGTTAGAAGCATGTGTAAGAGGTGTCCCTAAGGAATCCTCTGTTATACACTCTATCATCAAGGAGTTAAATAGGCCAGAAATGTTTATAAAGAGAATTCCAGTGTTGATAGCGGTAAGTGGATTTTAGTATTCTGTAAGAATCCATAAACATCCGCTTATGTTTATATTACGCTGGTCTTTTCCCTGCCTGAAATGTTTCAGTGATGTAGTAAAGCAGTGATATGACACATTTTTGAAAAGTTCCCATCATTCAGCTACATTGTGAGAAATAAGGCACAAATGGTGATTTTTTATATCAGTTTATAAGCTACAGTCAAATTTTATTTCATCTGTAGTGCTCATAGCTGAATCTTTAAGGAAAGTTTTGGCCGAGTGTGGTGGCTCATGCCTGTAGTCTTGGCTACTCAGGAGGCTGAGATGGAAGGATTGCTTGAGGCCAGGAGGTTGAGGCTGCATTGTGCCATGATCACGCCACTGTACTCAAGCCTGGGTGACAGAGCAAGACCCTGTCTCAAAAAAAAAAAAAAAAAGACAAGTTTTATTTTGTTTAGAAATGATAATTTTTTAATGCTATAGTATTATGTGTATAGTGGAACTAAAAAAGGAATGAAGCTTCAGAAATCTAAATACTCATCTAATGTCTATGCTTCTTGATATAGTATTTTATTATTGAAGATTTGAAAAGTATATAATTTGATTTTTGATAGCTTTCTTGAGATATAATTTATACACCATAACATGTACCTATTTAAAGTCTACAATTTAATGGTTTTTAGTATATTTACAAGTTGTACAGTCATCATCATCATCATCCCTAAGTGTAATTTGATTTTTAAATTTTGTGTAAGGAAACACTACTCAAATTCAAAATTTTTCTTCAAAAATTAACATGCATTTATGGAGTTTCTGTTTGGGATGATGAAAAAATTCTGGAAATGGATAGTGGTGATGATTGTACAACATTGTGAATGTACTTAATGCCACTGGATTGTATGCTTGAAATGATTAAAATGGTAGGTTTTATATTATATATATTTTACCACAATAAAAATTAATATCCATTTTTGTGAAATTAGAAATGGTTTAACTTCAGAAGTTTTTAGGAATTTCATCCTATCTGAATGCTCTTTGGTAGAAAACTAAAAAAAAAAAAGAAATGTCATCCTAAGCAACACATGGCCCTAATAATTTTTTCTCAGAAACATGTTATATTAACGATATTCTTATATGCTAAGAAAATCATGTTACTGGTTTTCTTAGACTGAAAATGATGCATTAAAATTGTTGTTGGTATTTATTTTTATAGAAATTAGTATATAATTAAGTGAAGAAGTAAAGATAATTAGCTTTGCTTTAATTTTGCTGTTCTTGAGAAAGCAAGATGCCAAACAATGCTGGACTACTTATCTCAATGGGGGAAAAAGTAAATGTAATGCACACATGCATATAAATATGTATATGATAATATTAAAGTATCTGTTTATAGATGCATTAAAAAACTCTCTGCATGGAGACAAGAAATAAAAATGTTTGTTGTTCTGGACAGGAGAACAGGGTGGCTAGGGCTCATGGATGAGAATGATATTTTTGATAATATTTTTGATTATGTGAATGTATTATCTATTGAGACATTTTAGTAAAAAACTTACCCTAATCCTAGTCTCCGAATCAGCATAATTGTGTTCCTTCTTACTGTGCTTTGTTACAGGAAGTAGAACTTTGAGACTGGTTTGAAAATGAATTATATTAAGAAGTTGTTTTTTTTCTAGGAATTGATTATGGATTAAGTTTACCACTTGGGGACGACTATGAACGGAAGAAACATAAATTAAAAGAAGAATTGCGGCAAGATTACAGACGTTATCTTACTCAGGTAACGAGTTCTATTAATGAGTTGGGTTTAATGTTTCAGAATTCAGCTCCTAAATTTGTTTTCATAAGGTATTAGTCATATGTGTTAATGTTTAGGTTTTCAGTGGTACTAGCAAAGTAGTAGTATAGTCAAAGTTAAGTGGCATATATGACATTGATAGAGAAAAAATATTGCTGAGAACTGGCGCCATAGATTAATACAGACTTTTGACCTTTTGACTAAGGCAGTGGATTCTAATTTTAAGTGAGATCGTTAATTATGGTTTTTCATGTTTTCTGTAAAGTTGTCATGGTTTGAAGTAGTTCAATCATGGTTTCCCTCTCTTCTACACCCCCCAACTATGTATTAAAATGACATGTGGAGTTCTAGTTGCTAATTGTTTTCCTATGAGCCAAGCTTATACAATTACATTTAATTATTTAGCCACTAAAGCTTTTGTTTTATGATATCATGTTTTACTTAGTAGAACTCTTTAGTGTTTTTGTTAAATTATATAATGGCCGACGTAAAGCTTTATTGTAAGTTTTAAATTTAGGTTATAAAATTATTATAAACAATCATGATGTTTGTTGTGATCTCAAGATATTCTTTAATTTTTTACTGCTTTATGTTTGTTCCAAATGTACAAACTGTCTCTTATTTATTCTGATTTACACACGGAGAGAATGAACTTTGACTGAATACACGTTGTCAATGGTTTGTTTCCCTTGACTTTAGGGCATTACACAAGGGAAAAGAAAGGTAGGGTTGTCTGCAAAATGTCCTCCTTCAGTTTTTGCTTTCTCTCTTTTTTTTTTATGATCTAGTAGCTTGCAATTGTTTGCATTTATGAGATTCAAACCAATTAGGAAAATGGGTTCATTTGTGATTTTGAGATGTTTGAATGGCACCACTTTGTATTCTTGCTTTTAGCAGATGACAGCGTACACATTATAATTTTCTGTTAATATAGTCATTACTTTTGATTCCTGCTTTGCGTTTGTTTATTGCTTTCTTATGCATTCTTTTTGAATATTCTGCAGTTAAGTCTGTTTTTAGCATGCAATTTTTCGTTTCTTAAATTATGCTAATCACAGTAAGATTAATAGAGTAGTAGAATATCTAAGATATTTGAACTACATGTTGTCAGAATTTGGATTACTCTGTTTTTGCAACAAAATCTGTAAATTACATTTGTCCATTTATATTAGAAAACAAAGAGAAACAGTTTATGGTTTTACAAAACTGGTTTTAAAAAGAATCTCACGGATTCACCATTCAACTAACGTATTTTAAACACTTATTATGAAGATGTATCAGGTATGCATCCTGTCTTCAAGAGGCTTAGAATTTAGTTGTAGAGATAGCATTCATACAATTCAGAAAGTGGTAACTACAAGAAGGATATAATGATCAAGAAAGTCCTCATAGTGGGAATTTCTATTTTGTGAGGCAATCTAGATTTGGATGATCTAGAGAGAGAATCAAAGTGAGAAAGCTTTTCAGATGGAGAGCATAGAGTAAAGGGGGACCCAGAGGGTAGACTTTAGCTTTGTATGAATGAGGCATATTAGCTTTACCAGCCTGAGTGGGTCAGAGTATCATTCTTTTTGAGAGTAGTAAGGAATAACGATGTGTATAGGATAGGATCAAATTAGAAGGCGGTGGATTTTTAACTGGTTATATGTGATAGGTAGTGATAAGCATCATACTTTCTTAAATAGCCTGTGAAGAGCATGGTAACTGTGTTTTAAGACAGTTCTGCATGTAGAGACTGTCATCTTATTGTCTTAAATTGCTGCTCAACTTGTTAACTGATTTCCTTGTGCTAATTTTCACTCCAGGATAAAAATTCAAATTCCTTAGCATGGCACATGTCTTTCATGTTCCAGCCTGACTCCCTGGGCTTATACCTCATTATCTTCCCCTTCGCTACCTCTTCTTCTTAGGTGGAGTTTTCTTCTGGTATCAGATATTTACTATTTTCTCTTGTAGGTTTTACATTACTCCCTAGGTAAGATTTTTTAAAAAGATAGTGGTGGGGGACATAAGAAGAAATTGCCTTCATGAAAGTAGAAATCTTTAAATTCAAAGGGATGTGAAGGAGTGTTTTTTTAGATTTTTTTATTTGTTTGTGTGTGTGTGTGTGTGTGTGTGTGTTTTCTGAGACAGTCTTGCTCTGTCGCCCAGGCTGGAGTACAGTGGTACGATCTTGGCTCACTGCAATCTCCACCTCCCGAGTTCAAGCGATTCTTCTGCCTCAGCTTCCCAAGTAGCTGGGACTACAGGCGTCCACCACCACGCCCAGCTAATTTTTTTGTGTTTTTAGTAGAGCTGGGGTTTCACCTTATTGGCCAGTCTGGTCTCAAACTCCTGACCTTGTGATCTGCCCATTTCAGCCTCCTAAAGTGCTAGGATTACAGGCATGAGCCACCGCACCTGGCCAGTTTTTTAGATTATTAAGAATATAGTCGGCCAGGCATGGTGGCTCACGCGTGTAATCCCAGCACTTTGGGAGGCAGAGGTGGGCGGATCACGAGGTCAGGAGATCGAGACCATCCTGGCTAACACGGTGAAACCCCGTCTCTACTAAAAATACAAAAAAATTAGCCTGGCGTGGTGGCAGGCGCCTGTAGTAGTGGCAGGTGCCTATAGTCCCAGTTACTCGGAAGGCTAAGGCAGGAGAATGGCATGAACCCCGGAGGCGGAGCTTGCAGTGAGCCGAGATCAGGCCACCGCACTCCAGCCTGGGCGACAGAGTGAGACTCCATCTCAAAAAAAAAAAAAGAAAAAAGAATATAGTCTTGTACAGGAGCAGTATTTCCTTAAAATTAGAGAGAGTCTTTTGTTCACGTTTGAGAAGGTGGGAATGGAAGGGAAAGCAAGAGAAAAATAAAACTACACAGAATATAGGGAGCTGGCTGTAGCTTCCTGGACCCCCTGAAATATGTATGGTTTCCAAGTCCCACTCATATCTCTTGTGGCTTCCAGACTTGGATTGCATGGATATTTGAGTTAAAAAAAGAAAATCAAATCAAATCTTTTAATTTTGCCAAGAAGAGTTATTAAAACAAACAACTACCATCTTTTTTCCTGTTTTAATTAATTTTTTTTTTTTTCCTGAGCCCTTCCTGCCCAGAGATGATTTCCTGTTTTTAGGCTAAAAGATGCTTGACCGTCTAAACACAGAAAAGACATGTTCTCACGGGAACAGTTTTTAAATTGAGTCAGTTAATTAATATCTCCAGCCCAGACCTCCATCCTGAACTTCAGACTTTTCTAGCTGGCTGCATAATTCACATTTTCACTTTGAAATCTACCTATTATCTTATGTAGACCATGTCCAAAAGAGAATTCTTGATTTTTGTTCTTCCCACCCTCATGCCTGATAAACCTGCACTATCTGTAGCCTGTCCTTTTAATTTCCTTTTTGTTACAGTAATTATTACCTTCTAGCATGCTGTATAATTACTCTTCATTATGTTTATTATTTCTTTTTCATTTTCCCCAGCTTGAATGTATGCTTTTGGAGGGCAGGAATCTTTATTTGTTTTTTTCAGTCCCAAATGCATCAGAGAGTTTGGGCACATGGTAGGCACTCAGTATTTATTGAATGAATGAGTGAATGAATGAATGATTAAAATTTAGCTTTTTGAAAAAACTCACTATGTTGTTCTTTTTTTAAGAATTAAAAAAATTTTTTTTGATAGAGACAGTATAATAATTAAAAAAAAAGTTTTTTTTTTTTTTTTTTTTTTTTTTAAATACCCAAACTGATCTCGAACTCTTGGGCTCAAGTGTCCCTTCTGCCTTGGCCTCCCAAAGTGCTGGGATTACAGACATGAGCCACCACTCCCAGCCTATGTTGTTGTTATTGTTTATTCTTTTCATTTTATTGAAAATTTCGAACATCATTCTTGACCCATGTTTGGAATGGGAAATTGCCCAATGAAGGAGTGAGGATGTTAAATCTATCTTCCTGGTTGGAACTGTGAATGGGTTTTTCATGCATTTATAACTCTACAGAATAATTAGGTGTATAATGTACTTCAGTATATAGGAGGTAAAATCACTCAGGGATCTGGTCATGTGTCTTATTTTTTCTTTGTCAGATAAGTTTAGAGTTCCATACAGCCAACTTTCAAATTAGCTTTTGTAGCACAACTCATTTGTAAATTCAGATTTAATGACACTTTATTTATTTTTGAGACAGAGTCTCACTCTATCACCCAGGTTAGAGTGCAGTGGTGCTGATCTTGGCTCACTGAAACCTCCACTTCTCAGGTTCAGGGGATTCTCCTGCCTCAGCCTCCCAAGTAGCTGGGACTACAGGCGCGCGGCCCCAAGCCCGGCTAATTTTTTGTGTTTTTAGTAGAGACGGGGTTTCGCCCTGTTGCCCAGGCTGGTCTGAACTCCTGAGCTCAAGTGATCCACCCAACCTCGACCTCCCAACCTGCTAGGATTACAGGCATGAGCCACCCTGCCTGGCCAGATTTAATGAAACTTTATTAATCACTGAGTTTTGCTAATTACTCTCTTTCCATAATGTTTTGAATACAACGCTATTGTAGTAGTTAATACATTGTTTTGTGGTTATTTGCTTACATATCTGTTTCTGCAACTGAATTGTAAATCCCTTGAATATAGGGAAAATATATTTGTATCCCTACCACCTGAAAATAGTACCTGCATAGTATTAGATGGTTGCTAATTGCTTGTTTAGTGAATAAGTAAAAGGCATGGAATTAGGCAGATTGACAATTATTGATTGATTTAATCCTTATAACCTAGTGATGTGTAGATGACATTATTTCTGTTTTACAGACAAGGAAACTGAAGTGAAGTGAAGTACATTATTCCAAATTATTTGACTACTAAGTAACAGTACCAGAAAGTTGGAGATCATATGTATTTTTTTTTACCAGTTGGGGATCATGTGTATTTTTTTTTTTTTTTTAACCAGTCCTTTGTATTTGCTTTATAGCTTTCAAAGGGATTTTATATTTTTTATCCTCCTTCATCCTTATACCAGCTTTGGTAGGTAGGCAGAGCAGGTACTATTCTCATTTTACAGAAGAAAGTGTCTGTCAGAGAAGTTAAGTGACTTCCTCAGTGTTACACAACTAATAAATGCTTGGGCTAGTCATAGATCCTAGGTCTTTTGACTGCTAGTCTAATGCTGCCTCTACTACACTGCGTTACTTAAATGCTTAATGAACAAGATTGGAGGAACACGTAAACAACATTCATAATTTATATCTATTGGCATTTCAGTAGATATTCACTCACATAATTATAGGAAAAATAGAAAAAAACTGTTGTGGCATGCATTAAGGTATTTGTGAGGAAGTTTAAATTTGCCTTGAGAACAAAAAGACAGTAGAGCACTGATAATGAAGAGTATGTGCTTAGAAGACGAATATAAATTGGGAAAGTTTTTCTTCATGCTTCTAATCATCTTGAATCAATAGACATATATATATTGCAAATGAAAATTAAGGCCTGATTTTCCCTTTCAGGAAGTTGTTGATTGGAAGAAAATTCTCTTTTTTCCAAATGCTTTTGGTATGGTCTATATAGATTTGTAGTTTCTGTCTTCATTCCATTTCATTCGTTTGCTTTGCATAATGTAATACTACGTTAGAATATAGAATGCAAAGACACATTTATGCAACATATTTTATAAAGGCAATTAGGTAATATATTTTTTTAATGTGTATATATACAGACAAATTTTCTATCTACGAGTGAAACAGATCCATCTACTTTGGGAGTTTCTCTTCCTATTGGTGAGAGGTTATCTGCTAAGGTAGGTGGATAGGAGTAGTTATTGTGGGTAGCAGTTTTCCCAGGCATCAAAATCATAAAAGAACATACTGCTGATTTAAATGCAAATGGAAGATCACATCATTTCTCCATACTTGAATATATTTCTTTTTCAAAAATCCATGGAATCATGTTTATGCTGTTTAAAAAAATTTTCTTGAACACATTTGTAACCATATAATTGTATATTTCTTTAATATGTTGATTCTGTTGCTGTATTCAGTTATACTTAACTGAATATTCAGAATTCATTTTTTTCACCATGGGTTTCTGACTGTAAAGTTTATGCTATGTAACACAGTTATTGGAATGAGTGGATGTGAAATTATAGTGAGCTTTTATGTCGGGTGAGGGTAAGGGTTCTTTGAATGTGTGATTCTGTCACTCCATTAATACACGTGCATGTTCCTTCATGGTGAAAGTGATAAAGCACTGTACACCTCTCGTAGTGACTCAGTCTCACCAGAGTATATCAGAGATCATGAAATAGTATATAAGACAAAATTGACAGTTAATAAATTTCAAAAGACAGACCTAGTTTCTTTTCTTTTCTTTTCTTTTTTTTTTGAGACAAAGTATCGCCCTGTAGCCCAGGCTGGAGTGCAGTGGCACGGTCTTGGCTCACTGCAACCTCCGCCTCCCCAGTTCAAGTGATTCTCCTGCCTCAGCCTCCTGAGTAGCTGGAGGCAGGATTACAGGCGCCTGCCACCACGCCTGGCTAATTTTTTGTATTTTTAGTAGAGGTGGGGTTTCACAATGTTGGCCAGACTGGTCTCGAACTCCTGACCTCGTGATCCACCCGCCTCAGCCTCCCAAAGTACTGATGTTACAGGCGTGAGCCACCGCACCCGGCTGACCTAGTTTCTTTAATACTTTTTTAGATTGTGTTGTTTTAGTGACACGGGAAATGTTAAAATTTAAGAACATTTTCTAATCTTACATATTTGTGCTTTAACAGAACATTTCATTATAATGTTTTATAATCTATGATAATTTTGCCTTTTTAAGTTTAAAATATAAAGGATCCTTTTTAACCTTGGAAAGGAAATGGTTAGCTGCAGGTGCTTCAGGGAGTGGGTTGGGGCATTAGGAGAGGGAGGTGTCCTTGAGAAGGAAAGAAGGAAGGTAACCCCATCATATCTCTTTGGAAACATGCTAATGACAGTTCTCTTGGCAAACACAATCATCATATTTACTAGTGGGAGAGATTTATCTCTGAATGCTTTTGGCAGAATACACCTGGTTTGTCTAGGATTGCTGTTGGGAATCAAACCTGCAATCTATGGATTTATGTGGCATGGCTCTTTGGAAAATGTCATCTAAGCTCTGTTAACTATTGGAGTGTAAAATGGAGATGTTTCATGAACGAAGCAACTCCCTTCTATTAGAGACCTCATGTGTTAATGGACCAAAGCATGTAGTCGTGCATATTCTTACGTGACAAAAAAGACCTGGGGAGCTGTATGGGTGTCCTCAAACCTCTTCCGACTTCTCCTATACTTTTCAGTGACATTTGTCCTTGAAATTATTAGTAAAGCTTGATTCTGGGTAAGAGTTCTGATATGTATGATTCAGATTTGACATTCCGATATGACATTGAGGTATTTTTTTTCCTGAAGGTGAAGTTAACACTGCCTTTTGATTTTTATTTTAAGGAAAGGTTGAAACTTGAACGTAACAAAGAATACAATCAGTTTCTCAGGGGTAAGGAAGAATCCAGTGAAAAGTTCAGGCAGGTGGAAAAGAGTACTGAGGTAGGTTTTGCTTTTGAAGTAAATCTGTACTACCACATGTTGAATATTTTGTACTTGAAAAGGTTTTTCTATTTTAGACATTTTACTTTTTTTTTTTTTTGTAAATACTTGCAAAATTAAGCCAAATTAAACCAAACACAGGACATTTAAATGTTTAGTTTTGAAAGTTGTTTTATCTCATATTGAAGAACTTTTAACATGTAATTAGGGAGATTTAATTTTAGAGATCAGTTTTGTTAAGTGATTTTCATTTATTTTTAAAAATTTAAATGAGTTTTTATGTTGACAATTCCTAGCTATATATATATATATATATATATACTTTTTTTTTTTTTCAAAATTTAAGGATCAATTAGCCGGACTTGGTGGCAGGTGCCTGTAATCCCAACTACTTGGGAGGCTGAGGCAGGAGAATTGCTTGAACCTGGGAGACAGAGGTTGCAGTGAGCCAAGATTGCGTCACTGTGCTCCAGCCTGGGTGACAGAGCGAAACCTGGTCTGGAAAAAAAAAAAAGAAGGATGATTGATGTATCTGGGGCCAAACCATTCAAAACATTTACCACTTTCTGTATCCTTTGTGTTGAGAATTTAATTTGAAATATTTTGAAGTAATATCTCCTAGGATAGGAATTTGCATTTAGTTTATCCTGTCCTTCTTTCTTTTCTTTCTTTTTTTTTTTTTTTTTGAGATGGAGTCTTGCTCTGTCACCCAGGCTGGAGTGCAGTGGCACAATCTCAGCTCACTGCAACCTCCGCTTCCTGGCTTCAGGTGATTCTCCTGCCTCAGCCTCCGGAGTAACTGGGATTACAGGTGCCTGCCACCATGACTGGCTAATTTTTGTATTTTTAGTAGAGATGGGGTTTCAGCATGTTGGTCAGGCTGGTCTTGAACTCCTGATCTCGTGATCCACCCGCCTCGGCCTCCTAAAGTGCTGGGATCATAGGTGTGAGCCTCCATGCCCTGCCACAGAAAGGTAAAATTTTCTTCAAGTTTTTTTTTCTAAAAAAAATATATGGGCGATTAATGTTGCCTAGGCTGGTCTTGAACTCCCAGGCTCAATCAGTCCACTGGCCTCCACCTAGAATTTTTATTTAATAAACTAACTTTTCATAAACTGTACAATTTGATGGGTTTTAGAATATGTAAACCACAATCAAGATAACGAGCCTATCCCATATCCCCCAAAATGGTTCTGGGACCTTTTGGAATCTGTGTGTCCTCACTGTCCTCCCCTCATTCCCACACTGTCTCCAGATCTTCCTGACCTGACTTCTATCACCCTAGACTACTTTACATTTGATCATTTAATATAAATGGATCATACAGGATATACTAGTTTTGGGGGTGTGGCTTCTTTCACTCGGTATGATTATTTTGAGGTTCATTTGTGTTGTTGAATGTATGGATAATTCATTCAGTTTTGTTGCATAGTAATGTTCCATTGCATGGCTGTATCAGCTTGTTTATCCATTCCCCTGTTGATGGACATTTGAGTTATTTCTGGCTTTTGCTATTACAAGTAAAGCTTATATGAACATTCATGTAAAAACATATATATATATATATATGCGTGATTAAACAAACATCAGAGTTAAAATGATAGACTAAGTATAAATTGAGGGTTTAATTACCTTATGAGAGATAGTTTCTCATCAAGTTTTGTTTCTTTTTTCTTTTTTAATTGAACAGCCCAAGAGTCAAAGAAATAAAAAACCTATTGGTCAAGTTAAGCCTGATTTAACTTCACAAAAACATACATCTTGCGAAAATTCAGAGGGTCCTAGAAAAGATGTCTTAACTCCTTCAGAGGCATATGAAGAACTTCTGAACCAAAGACGACTAGATGATGAACTCGAAGTAAGGAATAGAAGAATTATTAAAAAAGCAAATGAAGAAGTAGGCATTTCCAACCTAAAACATCAGAGGTTTGCAAGCAAGGCTGGCATTCCAGATAGAAGATTTCACAAATTTAATGAGGATCGTGTTTTTGATAGACGGTATCATAGACCAGGCCAAGATCCTGAAGTAAGTGAAGAAATGGATGAGAGGTTTAGATATGAAAGTGATTTTGATAGAAGACTTTTGAGAGTGTATACAAATGACAGGTATTTACAACTTCATTTTTATTTTCTTTATTAGCTTAATATAGCAAATTAATTGTTAATATTTGCTGCTGTTACTTTTTATCATTATAGTAGGGAGAAGCAGTTTTATCATAATTAATTCTAAGTTGCTGTCAGTTTTAAAATGCATCATTATTTTATGTCCCACTGAGGGGAAAAAGAAAACACTCAAGGTGGCGGCCGTGTTATAAAGTTGGAAAACTGAAAGGCTACACCCATTATGTAAAAGTATGTGAATTGTCCCCACAGAAAGGGACACAGAGGGAACGCCCGCGTCCCAACCTTGTCAGTGAGTGGAGAGTAAAGATACAAACAGCCTTCCCTGAGAATTTGAAGTGTAAATTGGTACTGATTCAAGTTCACAGTCCAAATTCATACTGCCAGTAGTGTCCAAAGAAACCTTGAGGCCAGAATTCAGAGTTTTCTCAATTCATAGTGCTCTTGGATGAGGGGAAAAATAACTGTCTGCAATAACTTGACATAAAACCAGGTCATTGGCTATTCTGACTTCATATATTAAAATGTGGCCAGGTCTGGTGGCTCATGCCTGTAATCCCAGCACTTTGGGGGCCGAGGCGGGCAGATCACAAGGTAAGGAGGTGGAGACCAACCTGACCAACGTGGTGAAACCCCATCTCTACTGAAAATACAAAAATTAGCCAGGCATGGAGGTGCACACCTGTAATCCCAGCTACTCAGAAAGCTGGGCAGGAGAATCACTTGAACCCGGGAGGCTGAGGTTGCAGTGAGCGGAGATCACGCCACTGCACTCCAGCCTGGGCGACAGAGTAAGACTCTGCCTCAACAGCAATAACAAAAATAAATAAATAACATAAAACGTGTGAAAAAAGGATACCTTAAAATAGATGAAATACAGTTTATTTCTGTAGTCATAAGTTTTTTCAATCAGATTTTCAGATGGTTTTCAGTTCCTTTGAATGTTTTTGTGACAGTATTTATAATTTCTTAACTGCTACAATGAGGGTTTATTGTTGTATTTATCATAACATTGATACTTGCCATAGTTTAACCTAACTTGTTTTGGAGTTAGGAATGAATACCTTACGGTCTCATATTTGTCATTGACTTGTTTACTTGACAAGTGTTAATACATTTTGAGCAGCTTTTGGGACCTGCTTTATTTACTAGTCCAAATAGATTAGTTTTTAAGTATTTTAGAAAAAATTTTCAGTGGTAATGCTGTACATTTAGTGTTCTAACTATTACGATACAAAGCTTTTGCAGTTCTTTGTCTTCTACATTCTGTAGCTGTTATGTCCTCACACAATACTTTTAATATTTACCTGATTTAGGTAATTTGATTGATTAAAATTTGGAAATGGCAATTATAGTTTCTCTAATCTGAATCTAATTGTTTATACTTAGAAAATTCTCCAAATCCTATAATGTTATATTTGAAAATGCTTATATATGAAGGTAGTTAAAGGCTGACTAAACTAAAATAACTCAATTGGGGAACTGCAAGTACTCTTCAACTCTTGGTGATGATGTCTCCTTTGTACATGAGAACTTCCTTTCCCTTTATGATATTTGTTTACCTTTAGGATGAATGTAATGCATACCTTTTTAAGTTTGGAATTTTAAGAAACATATTATAATGGTAGCTTCTTTGTTTTTTATATATTTTAATCTATTACTTTTATAATTATACCCTGTGATAATTTTATACATAAACTGACAAATGAATATCATTCTATTTGAGAACTATCGTATCTTCTTATGTATCCCATAAATAAAATAAATTCCTTCCATATAAACTATCCCAAATACTATTTAAGAATAGATTAAACATGAGGTTGAGTGAGAATAATTCTTGTTAAATACTTTAAAGTGTTTCTTCAATATATAAATCATATTTTATGTATTTTTATTTTGTTATTATATCAACTTTGACATCTCCAAGTGTTTTTTCTTATGTGTCTCTTTAACAATTGAATTTAAAATTGGATTTACTTCAGATTTGTAGATTCCTTATTTCCACCAAAAAAAAAAAAAAAAAAGGATTTCAGTCATTCAGTAGTTTATAAATCAACTGGTTGATAGGAGAAATGACTGTATTTGTGAAAAGCTTGAGACTAAAGAAATGTGGAACTGAGTTTCATCTCTTGCTTCAAGCATTTATTCTTAACATACTGTGCAATCTTGATCAGAAGTTCTTGACAAAAAATAATTATAATGTATCATGAGAAGTGCACAGTTAATTTTCCTTAATTCTTCTAAGTTTTCTTTGTTCTTTTTTTTTTTTTCCTTTCCTAAAAGTCAGCATCTGGTTAATTCTAGTTTTGGTTTATAATAATTTTTTATTTTTGGTTTCAATTTTTCTCTACCCTATAAACATTTACTTTTTTCATATACCATAATTATTAATGAAATATTTCCCCATACTTAAATATGGGAAAGCTAGCTGGGCGCGGTGGCTCAAGCCTGTAATCCCAGCACTTTGGGAGGCCGAGACAGGCGGATCACGAGGTCAGGAGATCGAGACCATCCTGGCTAACACGGTGAAACCCCATCTCTACTAAAAAAATACAAAAAACTAGCCAGGCGAGGTGGCGGGCGCCTATAGTCCCACCTACTTGGGAGGCTGAGGCAGGAGAAAGGCGTGAACCCGGGAGGCGGAGCTTGCAGTGAGCTGAGATCCGGCCACTGCACTCCAGCCTGGGCGACAGAGCGAGACTCCGTCTCAAAAACAAACAAACAAAATAAATAAATAAATATGGGAGAGCTAAAACTTTTCTCAGAAAATGATGTTACCTTCCTAAATTTGTATCATGAATCACTGACAGTGTTCTTAAATAATTAACAAGGTGGTTAACACTGTAATTGACAGTTGCATTGTGTGTGTATATGTGTTGTTTATTTATTCATATTTACCAATTTAAGTAAAATTTATCATATTTTAGGAGCTTTCTAAAGTAGAATGTAATAGCATGTCCTAAGATACTTTGAAATTTATAGGCTCTATTTAAATATAGTAATCCTAGTCTTATTTATTAACTTGAATTGTAGAAGTTAATATTTTACTTTATTGTGTTTTACTTTAACCAATGTTAATGAGTAAAAGAAGTTTTACTTCTTAATACCCAAAGAAACCAGGTACAGGGTAGATGGGATTGGTAATAGAAAACAGTACTACCAAAGTAAATATAAAAATTGGGAAAGAATTGAAAACAAAGAGAAAACTGGTTGTCCACAGTTAACATCTCAGAGTTTTTCTTTAGCTTCTATTTTTTTTTTTTAAAAGATTAACATATGTTCATTTTTAGGATAAAGTTGGCCTGTACCCTATACCTGGTTTCTTTGGGTATTAAGATTTTTACCTGATCAGCTAGAGTTGTTGACTCATGTCTTCAAGGAAATAGGGAGAGAAATATTTTTTTCATTTAAAATATTGTTTTTTTTTTTTGTTTTTTTTTTTAGTTAGTAGGATGGTGAAATCATTTTGCAGTTATTTTATTCCCTCAATCATATCTGATTTGCATTTCAAAGTTATGAGTTCTGTCCCTTTCTGACAAAACCCAATATATTAAGGTGTGATAAGTGAACCTATATGTTAAAAGCCATAGAATATTTAGGTAGATTTTCTATGGCTACACCACCCTGGAACGTGCCTAATCTTGTTTGATATTGGAAACTAAGTAGGCTTGGACCTGGTTAGTAATTTGATGGGAGAGTATTTAGATAGATTACTTCTGGGTCACAAGGATAGTCTTAATCTGGTACTCTCACAGTGAAACAGAAAGGGCTTCCAGGGACAAACTGAACCTAAACTGAACCCCTGAACTTTGGTTAGAATCAGATGGTTCTTAGACATTAGGTGAGTGCATTACTTTTGGATATTATTGTCTGTCTGTTTCCCTTTAATGTTGAGATGATTGAATAAAGAGGTAACCATTCTAAAACCACTGCTGATTCATACTAGTTGCTTTCTTCAGAGAGGACTTTTTTTGTTCAGAAAAGGTTACAACAATAAATTGTGAGACCATAAAAGCTGTTTAAGTGAACTAACAGAGGTAGTTCAGGGTGATTAAATGCTAAATTTATTAGAAATATAAAGGGCACTTTTAGTAAATGAAGGAAATGCCATAAAAATTGTAGGGATATTTTAATAGAGAATAAGGTGGCTAACTTTCCAAACTATAGTTTGGCTTTTCAGCTTAATTTCCCTTCAAGGTTTCTTTTTTTTAGGTCTTATATTGGTAATTAAAAAAAAAAATTATAAAATCTATATTTGTAAACAGTAATTCTTCCTTGACTTAAAAAAGATAAACAAATCATGTGTCATTTCATAAAATTGAATAGTATCCCTAGGATTTTATCTTTTTAGTGAAATGCTTATTTCTGCTCTTTTTTAGTCTCTTACACATTTTTCAGTCTCGATCTTATTATAATCGTTGGTAACAAAGTGGACTTTTATAATCTTGTAAATGATTTTTTTTTCTTCAGTGAAGGGTATACCTTAGAATATCTTTTCATATGTGCTGTTCAGTAGGAAATCTTTTGATTTTGCTGTAGATTTTAGCAAACAGACCTTAACCTTATACATACATAAAATCATTTCTTAAATTAATTTAGGATGAACTTGGAAAATGACCTCTTGTGTTTATGGCGTTTGCTTTACTATCTGTATACACTGAAGAGCCTGTAAAAGATTTTTTAGTGTGGATACCTTGGGTGCAGTGGTGATGTAAAGATAAGCTAGAATTATTAATCTAAATATTATCTTCAGAAAACTTAACTAGTAATGAAGGAAGCCACAAGCCCTATGTTAATTTTAGAAGAAGCTTTTGTATATCTCAGTGACCTTTAATTCTGGGACCCCAAGTTATGCTTTTAAGAATTTGTAACTTTACATTTCTATTTAATTTTTTTTTTTTTGAGACAGGGTCTTACTCTGTTACTCAGGCTGGAGTGCAGTGGTACAGTCTTGGCTCACTGCAACCTCTGCCTTCCAGGCTCAAGCAGTCCTCCCACTTTAGCCTCCCAAGTAGCTGGGACTACAGGTATGAGCCGCCATGCCTGGCCTCTGTTAAAGATTTTTTAAATAAAGATTTATTATTAAAGAATGTATATAAATAAATTATTTTTATATATAATTTTTTTTGGCATAGATACCTCTTTACTACACCAGTGAATTTGCTTTTTGTGTTGCGTCGTGGGTTCTCAAGAAAACCTCTAGGTGATTTGCTAGGCGGATCCATAAGGACTTTGGGTATAGTTGTACTCACAGTTATAATTTATTACAGCAAAATGATACAAAGCAAAATCAGCAAAGGTAAAAGGCACATGGAACAAAGTTTGAAGGAAACCAGACACAAGCTTCCAAGGGTTCTCTCCCAGTGGTATCACATAGGAGATGCTTACTACCTCCAGCATTGAATTGTAACAATATAAGGAAATGTCTACCAGGAAAGTGATTAGACACTCGGTGCCCAAGGTTTTTATTGTGGGATGGTTACATAGGCATCCTGTACCTGGCATGTACCAAAATTGCAGACCTCCTGAAGAAAAGCAAGTGTTTAGCATAAACTATAGTTTGTGCAGTTTAAGCACAGTGAGCTGCTCTTATCAGTTCTGCCAGTGGTTGTAACTCTCCCAAAATCTGTATTCCCAGGTGCCAGCTAAGGGTCAACTACAGTCAGGCTTTTCTGAGGACAGACAGTCTCAGGCCTGCTCTGTTAACACTTTTCGGCATTATATATAAAGATCCAGTATAACTAAATCTGGTTGCCTGGCAGTGTTAATTACAAATTTGAATTTGAGTTTGTATTTACCTGTTTGTTAAGTGGTTTAAGTAGGGAATGACACTAAGCTGATGTGTCATTCACACATCAGAATGTGTGTGTGTGATGAATGTGTGTGTGTGATGTGTGATGGATTAAAAAATGGAAGCCATTCATGCGTTATGCCATGTGATAGTTACTAAGATTAAAATTCCAAATAGTGTTTTCTCCACAGATGATATTGACAGTGGCTTGTATGATGGAAACAAGTGAAGAAAGAGTTTTATATGCTGGTTCTGTGGAGAGTGAGAAGTTTCTTTTTTTTTTTTTCCGGAAAATTGCCATTTTTCTTAATCTGATAATGAAATTCACCTAAAATACTGAATACCACTTTAACAACCATATTTCTTTGTAATAGTCCTCTTGAGAAAGACAGTATAGTTGGGTAACTCAACAGCCACGTAAAGAAACTTTGAAATGATTATGAAATGCTGATTTTCATGAACGCCGATAAGTATTGGTATAAAAAGTCATGTTGGTTTCTATGGTATGAGAAATTAAGCTAAAAATAAAATCAGTGTTTGCCAAATGGAAAAAAGATTGATTGAAAAACATTTATTCATTATTATTTTCCAAAAAGGTTTTTAAAGAAGAAAATAGAAAACATGCTAATCTTTCTTTTTGTTGTTTATGACCTCGTAAGTAAAGTTAGCTAATCATTTTCCCTGTTAATGTTTTCCATTCGCCTATCAGTAACATTTATTCTTTCCTGTGATTTACAGTGTTAGCAAATGTCATGGTTTGTTACATTTGATTTAATTTACAGACTGCTGCTGTATTTTTAAGTTAAAAAGGTTATGACAGGGCGCGGTGGCTCATGCCTGTAATCCCAGCACTTTGGGAGGCCGAGGCGGGAGATCACAAGGTTAGGAGATCGAGAGTATCCTGGCCAACAGGGTGAAACCCCATCTCTACTAAAATACAAAAAATTAGCCAGGTGTGGTGGTGCGCGCCTATAGTCCCAGCTACTTGGGAGGCTGAGGCAGGGGAATTACTTGAACCTGGGAGGCAGAGGTTGCAGTGAACCGAGATCGCGCCACTGCATTCCAGCCTGGCGACACAGCAAGACTCTGTCTCAGAAAAAAAAAAAGGAGGTTATATATACAATGAAATAATTCACAGACTCTATGAATTTTGATTTAAAAAATGTTCTCATTTTGAATTTTGACTATAATCTTTGTGAGTGTAGGGACTGTGTCCGAATACCCAGTAGGTGTTCGGTTCACTTTTAAATAGAATGATAAAAAAGTGTTAGTATATTTGTGGTTTTAAAAATCAAAACTTATAGAAAGTACATTAAAATAATTTATAATCTTTTTAGAAAAGATTATTACATTTAAACTCTTAGTGTCTTATTAACCAGCAGATCATACAAATTCTATTTAATTTTAGAATGTGTTTATGGTAAAACTTCATAACACTTTGTTCCCTTTAATGTTGCCAACATCAAATGTAAAACCACCAAAGTGTTATAAGAAGGTCTGTATGTGGAACATTCTTTATAAGCTAATATGTTTTTAAGGATGTACAGGAATAGACGAGGGAATGTGCCTCCTATGGAACATGATGGGGATGTTATAGAACAGTCAAACATAAGAATTTCATCTGCTGAAAATAAAAGGTACAGTATGTAATATAAATTCTCCCCTTTAGTTATTACATTGTGAAACAGAATGTGCCTTAAACTGGCTAACTGAAAAAGTAGAAAGGTATAGTAAATTAACAGCCTTTCTTCTTAGAAGTGAATTAAAGGAAAAGAAAGGATGAGGAGGTAGTACTAAATGAAAATTGATAGTACTTTACAGCATTCTTTTAAAGAACAAGTTTTTGGTTATAAAGTGTGCCAGGGTGTTCTGAAGATGTCCCTATCATTACGAAGTATGTAAATTTATTTGAAATAATAAAAGAAATAAGTATAATTTAATGGACTAAAAACTTAAAATATCTTAGAGTCATGGTGATGCAACTTGACTGGAAATAAGTTGAAAATGTGGCTGGGCCCGGTGGCTCATGCCTGTAATCCCAGCATTTTGGGAGGCCGATGCAGGTGGATCACTTGAGGTCAGGAGTTCAAGACCAGCCTGGCCTGGCCAACATGGTGAAACCCTCTCTACTGAAAATACAAAAAAAAAAAAAAAAATTAGCCAGGCGTGGTAATCCCTGTAATCCCAGCTACTCAGGAGGCTGAGGCAGGAGAATAACTTGAACCCCGGAGGCAGAGGTTGTGGTAAGCTGAGGTAGTGCCACTGCATTCCAGCCTGGGTAACAGAGTGAGACTCATCTCAAAAAAAAAAAAAATTGGGAATGTTCCTGTGGTGTGAATTTTTCTTTCAAAAGTTTATTTTTGATTTTCAGTTTATCAAGTAGATAGCTTTTATGCTTACTTTGTAAAATTAGTGCTCGTATATATTTCTGTCGTGTTGAAAGGAAATTATATGTATTTTATCTTTATGTTCTCTTTCTACTTACAGTTTTTTATCATTTTGGTGGCATTCCGGTGCTGTACATAAGGATAAATGGTTTTGAATCTATAGTATACAGTGAATATGATGTCATATGTCAAAAAAGATGCCTATTTTTTCTAAGAAAAATAATATATAAACACTGCTTGCAAGAAGATAATTTGCTGTTTCGTTCTAATCAATTAAGTTTCCTTTGAGGATTTTTTTCCCCTTGTTTCAGTCTTCCAAGAAAGGAGGTTTTTTTTTGTTTTTTTTTTTTGAGACAGCTTTGTTGTCCATGCTGGAGTGCAGTGACATGATATAGCTCACTGAAACCTTGACTTTCCAGGCTCAAGTGACCCTCCCACCACAGCCTCTGGAGTAGTTGGGACCACAGGCATGTGCCACTATGCCTGCCTAGTTTTTTTAAAAAAATTTAAAAAAAAAATTTTTTTTTTTAAATTTAGAGACAGGATCTCCGTTGTCCAGGCTGGTCTTGAACTCCCAAACTCATGGTGGGATCTTACAGGCATGAGCCACTGTGCATGGCCAGGAAGGAGTGTTTTTAGGGATGATCTTTTCTAAGTGTGTGCATAGGTCACTCTTTCTCTTCTTTTTTTTTTTTTTTTAAATTTATGTGCACTTTTCTTTTTTCTTTTTCTTTTTATTCTTTTTTGAGACGGAGTCTCCCTCTGTTGCCCAGACTGGAATGCAGTGGCACGATCTTGGCTCTCTGCCTTCTTGATTCAAGTGATTCTCCTGCCTCGGCCTCCTGAGTAGCTGGGATTAGAGGTGCGCGTCACCACGCCTGGCTAATTTTTTTGTATTTTTAGTAGTGATGGAATTTCACCATGTTAGCCAGGCTGGTCTCAAACTCCTGACCTCAGGTAATTCGCCCGCCTTGGCCTCCCAAAGTGCTGGGATTACAGGCGTGAGCTACTGCAGCTGGTCTTATGTGCACTTATATTCCTTTTTTTTTTTTTTTTAAACTGGGGTAACTTTTTTTATGAAAAAGGATTTTTTTTTTTTTTTTTTGAGACAGAGTCTCGTACTGTCACCCAGTGTTGAGTACAGTGGCGTGATCTTGGCTCACTGTACCCTCTGCTTCCCGGGTTCAAGTGATTCTTCTGCCTCTGCCTCCCAAGTAGCTGGGATTATAGGCGCATGCCACCATGCCCAGCTAATTTCTGTATTTTTAGTAGAGATGAGGTTTTACCATGTTAGCCAGGCTGGTCTCAAGCTCCTGACCTCAAGCGATCTGCCCACCTTGGCCTCCCAAGGTGCTGTAATACAGGTGTTAGCCACCACACCCAGCCTGAAAAAGATTTTATTTGAGAACTTATATAGCCAGTGAAGCAAGCTGAACATTTTTGTTTTTGTTTTTGAGATGTGTCTCACTCTTGTTGCCCAGGCTGGAGCACAATGATGTTATCTCGGCTCATTGCAACCTCCACTTCCTGGTTTCAGGTTATTCTCCTGCCTCAGCCTCCTGAGTAGCTGGGATTACAGGCCTCTGCCACCACACCTAGCTAATTTTTTTGTATTTTTATTAGAGACGGGGTTTCACCATGTTGGCCAGGCTGATTTCCAACTCCTGACCTCAGGCAATCCACCCATGTAGGCTTCCCAAAGTGCTGGAATTGCAGGTGTGAGCCACCGTGCCTGGCCAAAATTTTTTTTTTTTAGGCCTGAATACATTGGAGTTGCACTGTATAAAGAGATAGAATGCCATGATTTTACCTTAACCTTAAAAATTTGTAAATATTATAATGTCCATAGTACTTTGAAAGGCTAATCACTCATATCTACATTTTACTCTAAAATTTTGCTTCCTGTAAATTATCTGGATTTTAACTTACTCTGTTTCTCTGTCTTTTTTTCTTTAGTGCTTCAGACAATGAACCATCCAAATCTGCTAATCAAGATACTTGTAGTCCTTTTGCAGGGATGCTCTTTGGTAGGCACAAAACTTCCAATTAGTTGGACTTGTACAGAGTGTCTTATAATCCTTTTTTAGTGAGCACTCAGTGTTGTGATTAATACTATTTTTACTAATAGTAGAAAATATTTGTAAGTGCTTACTTTATGGCTAGATACTATGCTAATCATTTAGTTTATATAGCTCTATGTATAACTTTATTTTGTATTTTTAAAATTTTATATATCTTTGTATTTTTATTCATGATATTCATGAACACATCTATGTATAATTTTAAAGCTAAATTATTTACTGATGTGCTTTCCATAGGTGATAATAAAATTATTAGTTTCAGTAATCTTTTCTTTGCAAAATGGATTGATCATTACCAATCAGTAATGAGCTTTTAATTCCATATTTTATTAGCACTCTGTTGCAGTGTGGCTGTTTCTTACATTCTGCTTTTTAAAAAATTTTTATATATGATAGTTTTTTCCTTAATTCTTCTTTCTAGTTTCTTCAGCTAGTACAAAACTGCTTTGTATATTAGTTTATTTTCTACAAATTAAACCTTTCTTTCCTTTGTTCTTTTCATGTAGTTTCTGAGAAGGTGTTTTGTTCAAGTCATGATGATGGTCTAAATTTTCTGTTTATTAGAAGCCATTGCTGAATATAAGCTTGTTTTGCTATATGACACTTGTCACAACTTAATACCAGAAACTGTGAGGAGAGCGTTGTTTCTGGTTTGTACCTTTAAATGTGTAATAGAAAAGAGGTCTGTTCTTTGTGTGAAAACTGTTAGAAAAAAATGAACTGAAATTTGGTTTTAGTAAAGTATATGAAGAAATTAAATAACACTCTAGATTCATTCAACGTAAAAACAGTAAATTAAATACTGGTTTAGAGACATATAATTGCACTGTATTCTCAGGTTTTTGTTCCCTTGTGAATGACTGTTGTGAGAAAAATAGCATGCCACCTAGAATTTTATTCTAGTATATTATCTGTAGGTAAAAATTGACCAGTTTAATCAGTACCATGTAAAGTCTATATTTTTTCTTTTATTTTTATTTACTTATTTTATTTTAAAAGGCTATATTCTTATGTGTTTTTTTTTTTTTGAAACTGAGTGTTGCCCTATCACTGAGGTTGGAGTGCAGTGGCACAATCTTGGCTCACTGCAACCTCCGCCTCCTGGGTTCAAGTGATTCTTGTGCCTCAGTCTCCTGAGTAGTTGGAATTACAGACATGTGCCACCATGCCTGGCTAATTTTTGTATTTTTTTAGTAGAGATGGGGTTTCACCATGTTGACCAGGCTGGTCTGAAACTCCTGACCTCAAGTGATCTGCCCGCCTTGGCTTCCTAAAGTGCTGAGATTACAGGCGTGAGCCACTGTTCCCTGCTGATGTATTTTATAAAACATGGTAAAATAAGAGAAATGTCTTTCTGAGCTGAGAGCCTACTGATAAATAATTTTATCAATAAAAGGATTATTGTATCCTGACCTTTTAAAGATGAATAGCATGAGTTTAATGCAATCCAGGATTTATAGATGAATATTTGGTAAGACAATGAACTCTAACATTTGAAACAAACTGTTAAAGTCATTTAATTCAATGACTTATCTCGTGGTTGATCTTTTCCCCCCCAAACTATGTTTGTACATACCTATAGGAAATTTATTATCCCTAGAGACAGGACATTCCATCTTCAGATGGCTGTGATTGTTATGATACTCTTATTTCAATTGAACTGAAATTTATCTTCCTATAATTTTGCCCCAAGGATGTCACTTGGGGCCTTTTCTTTATTTAAAGAGTAAGATCATTGATTTAGTTTAGAGCTAAATAACAAATGTATTGTGGGGTTTATAAGAGAACCATAGGTAATTTAGAAGTATGTTTAAAAATTTCCATTCATTTGGGAATTTTCCTTCTGTCTTTTTGTTATTGACTGCTTGTTTAAGCCTCTTAAGATCCAAGAATATAATTAGATTAATTTCAGTTATTTCAAGTTTGTTGAATTTCTTTGACTTTTTTTTTTTTTTTGAGTGGCTCAGAATATAGTCTGTCTTGGTGAGTGTTTAGTGTGTACTTGAAAGAATGTGCATGGTGCAGTTGTTGAGTATAGTAGTTTATAGATGTCATTTAACGCTGGGTGTGGTGGCTCACACCTGTAATCCCAGCATTCTGGGTGGCTGAAGCAGGAGGATCACTTGATTGAGCCCAAGAGTTTGAGAGCAACCTGGACAACATAGGGAGACCATGTCTCTACAAAAAATAAAAAAATTAATTGGGTGTGGTGGCATGCACCTGTAGTCCTAGCCACTCAGGAGGCAGAGGTAGGAGGATTGCTTAAGCCTGGGAGGTTGAGGCTGCAGTGAGCCGTGATTGTGCCACTGCACTCCAACCTGGGTGACGGAGTAAGACCCTGTATCAAAAAAAGACAAAAAAAGGTGTCAGTTAAATCAAGTTAGTTCATTGTATGTTCATGTCTTGTATATCCTTAATGAATTTTATCTGCTTCTGTTGATTGCTTAGAGAGAAGTGTTGAATTCTCTATCTTGTCCTTCATGTGAGGCCTGGAGTGCCAGAGGGATTTTCTTAGTGTTCCTGCACTTTCCCCAGTTTTCAGCAAGACCTTCATGTCCTTGACAGTGAGGGCATCTCTTCCTCCACACTTCCCCCTTCTCAGCAATATATTGCTGTTGATTGTTACTTGATGCTGTACTGGTCCTGTGCATCTGGGCCTCAGGGATGGGTCTTTCTCAACATTTCTGTCCTTGCCCAGGATGATAGCTAAACTCTTCTTTGTGTCTGAGGAGGGTTTTGCATCAGATTTTTCACCAGATTTTTTTTGCCCTTCCCCGAACAGTAACAAGCCTTTGCTATGTAAGAGTGTGGGATATTGGGTCCCAGCTGATTTTCTGTCCCTTCACCATAGCTTGCAGCTTTTGCTTTGTATAGTCTGCTTTGAAAGTCTGGAATGTGGGCCATGTTTTGTGCCTGAATGTCACAAAAGTATCTCTTTTAGGTCTTCTGTGTTGTTTGATCCCAGTTTTTCTAGTGAACATTTAGAAATTGCATTCAGGCAGCAACTCCAGTGGGTCAAGTCTGGGCATGGTTTACTGAACAGATCCTTTGCTAATGGTCTCAAAAGGCTATAATCAAGGTATCCATCAGGCTGCTTTTTAACCGGAGGCTTGAGTGGGGAAGAATCTGCCTCTAAGCTAATGCAGGTTGTTGGCAGAATTCATTTCTTTGTGGCTATATGACTGAGGGCCCTGGCTTCTTACTGGATACCCACTGGAGACTGCCCACAGTTCCTAGTGGCCATCTGCTGTTCCTTGCCATGTGGGCTTCCTTACCATGGTTACTTACTTTATGCCAGCAAGAGGAATCTCTAAATTCAGGAAGGGCCCATTCCTTCTAAGGGCTTTCACCTGATTGTATCAGGTCCACCTAAGATAATCTCCCTTTTAATTACCTCAAAATTAGTTGATTCAGTACCTTAGTTACATCTGCAAATATTTTTTCCACCTTTCCATATTCTATTGTATACAAGTAAGTTACAGGTCCTACCCATTCTCAAGGGGAGGGAATTATACAGGGATTCAGCAGGGAGCAGGGAACGGAGTAGCCATCTTTAAAAAATTTTGCCTACCATTTTCACATTTCTCTGTTACTAATGTTGCAGTCTCACACATGCTCCTTAATGTAGCAGTTTCTCGTTGTCTGAACTATTACCCCAGGTTCTTTGTCCCATGTCCAAGAAAATTAAGAAATATAGACACAAAGGTGGGGTTGGAGCAAAAGTTTAATAAGTGAAAGAAAAAAAGCTCTCTGCAGGGAAGAGGGGAGTCTAAGTAGATGGCCGGGTTACAGCTGAATTGAAAAGCTTTTATAAGAAACAATCTCTGTAGCAGTTTGAGTAACTTATCAGTAAAACTATCTGTACAACTCGTGTTACCTTATACAGCTCTGGGTACCTCTCTAGGCAAGCAGAAAGCTGCTTGTCTTGTTTGTATAACTGGGTTTGTTTTAGATAAGCCACCCCTGCCCCACCCCCATGCAAGTTCCCACTATGAATATGCCTGAAAGGAGGTGGAAACTTTCCTGGGAGTTCACTAATCAGACAAAGAACAAAGAGCTCTGTGCTAGACCCTTGCTTATCTGTCCAGGTGCAGTCTGAGGTTTTATTTTTTCCCCCAGGTTGTTTTATTTTTGTCTGTTGCTGTGACTTTTCAAGCAGGCTGCTTCTGCAGTCTGAATTTTTTCCAAAATGATTTTTCCTTTCCTTCTCCCTCACTAAAGACCAATTTGATCTGAGTTCAGTTTTAAACTTAGCTAGGGACCTCTAGAGTAGCTTTCCTTTCAGAGAATAGTTTAGTCTTACTACTACAGAGTGACCTTTCTGACGTGTTCCCTGAAAGACCACCAAGAACATAGCTGGCTGGAGCTTGAATTTTTCTCCTTTGTTTCAGGTCTGAGAATTGTTCAGTTTGCATACCCTTCTTAGTTTGTTGCCAGGCCAAATGAAATTTCACTCTGTGAATGCACAAACTAGCACACTGCAAAGTCTGAAGGGACCTCCTGTGGATTTCTGGAGCTCTTTTTGTGCTTCCTATTGGATCTTTGCTCCATAACTTCTAGCCATTTTAGCCTTTCTGAATTTTGCTCTTTATCTATTCAATTTAGCTCAGTTTCCTGGCCCTCTTTGGGTTCTCTTTACCTCTTTACCTGTATCTGTGGTCTGGAAATTTCATTTGGGCAGAAATTGGGTGATTATAGGGCTCACCTCATCTATTTTCCTTCCCTTAGGTATTACAGTTCTGTACTACCTCTTGTCCAGTGTCTGGAAAACAATTATTTTGTGTATTTTGTCCACTTTTCTAATTTGTGGTTATTGTTGTTGTTTATTTGTTTTTTAAACAGTGTGAGGTTAAGTCTTGTGGTTGGTTATTCTATCATGGTCAGAAGTGGAATGGGAATATTTACTTTTATTATAAAACACAGTTATTAATCTTAATGTAATTCATGTAACCTCTATGGGAGCTTCACTTTTGCTGATATCTGTGCTTAATGGACAAACTGAGATGCTGTGTGCCCACTGATGGTTGGAGACCAGTAATGAAGACAGTACAGAAATTGCTGTTTCAATTGCATTCTTGATACCCTGTGATTTTTGTAGTGTTCCAGATCTTGCATATCTAGATTAAGAGGTTATTTTGTGGTGTTAACATATGCAATAATAATAATCTTCTCTGCATTCAAAATTTTTGAATAGCTGAATTTTTGTGTAAGGAATACCAGGGTAAGAGGTTTATATTTTTTCCTGCAGAACTGAATTTTTTTGAGCAGAGTGCCAGTTTGATTAGTGTATTTTATGACAGTTAATATTACATAGTGTACTGGATCTATTGGAGCAGGGAGAAGGAAGTTGGGAAGACTGGATATTAGTTAGGAAGTTTTTGCTGCAATCCAGGTCAGATGTAGAGAGGACTTATGCAAGGTTAATGGCTCTGAGAATAGAAAGGAGGGGGCCTCATATGAAGAGAATAGAAGAGGACAAGCAATCCAAGTTAGAGTGAGATTTTGAGGCTCCAGTATTGGTCCATTAATAGAAAATGAAGAGGGGCAGATGATTTTGAGGTGCTCATTTGGGATTGAAATGTTAAATTTATAAGACTTATGGAAGATATTAATGGAAATATTACTTAGATTGTTAGAAAAATGGGGTTGGGATAAGAATATTCTGTTATTTAGGAAAATTTTTGACTACTGGTAGAGGCATGGGCATGATTCCCGTATCTTGTGTTTGACACATAGTAGGTACCCATTAATTACAAAAATAATTGAAGAAGGACTGATTCATGTGATTTTTTCCTTCTGTATTTCTTGCATATTCAGTAATTATATGATACAATTAAGACAGAGTTTTTAAGGACTTGACTTTCTAATTGCATACGATGCTTAAGAGTTAAGATTGCATTTTTCTGATACCACTATCTAGGAGGTGAAGATCGAGAACTTATTCAGAGAAGGAAAGAGAAATACAGACTAGAACTGTTGGAACAAATGGCTGAGCAACAGAGGAACAAGAGACGGTAATGAAAGGTTTGCATTTAAAAGAGATATTTTGAGTTTAAAATGCATTTGTGTAGATGGTTAAATAAGGGGTTGTCTTTCTAATATGATGTTTGATTTGTAAATCACTTATATTTTAGTCTCTACATGGTAAATCAACAAGGAAAATAAATACCAAGAGAGTTTTTGTTGTTGTTGTTGTTTTGGCCATAAGTTGCAAGTGAGAGTATTTGTATATTCTGTGATAGACCTTTTACTTCCTTCATTGATTTCTTCAGTTTTTGATTTAAGGTAGCATTTAATGTTACAGATACGCTCTCTGGATTATCCCATATATAGTAACAAATATAAAAGTATTTTTTGCCATATGAAATGGTATGCACACACACATACGTGCAAAAAAAAAAATTGTATCCTATAAATTTAACATTTCCATCCCAAATGAGCATCTCAAAACCAACTGTCCCTCTACATTTTCTATTAATAGCCCAATAATGGAGCCTCAAAATCTCACTATGACTTGTATTCCTTGTCCTCTCTTACTCACTTCATATGAGGCCCTCTCCTTCTTTCTATTCTCAGAGCCATTAACCTTGGATGAGTCCTCTCTACATCTGACCTGGGTTGCAGCAATAGCTTCCTAACTAATAACTAGTCTTCCCAACTCCCTTCTCCCTGCTCCAATAGATCCAGCACACTATGATATTAACTATCAAAAAATACACTAATCAAACTGGCTCCCTGCTCAAAAAACTTCAATGGCTTCCTCAATTCCACAGGAATGATAAATCACAAGTATTTATGTTGTTGTATATAGGTATCATTGTTTATAGTCTTTCTTGTTGAAATACCTATGAAATATTATAGTTTAAAATTAGGAATAGAGTTTAAAATTAGAAATTACAGTAGCTCACGCCTGTAATCCCAGCACTTTGGGAGGCTGAGGCGGGTACATCACGAGGTCAGGAGATCGAGACCATCCTGGCTAACACAGTGAAACCCCATCTCTACTAATAATACAAAAAATTAGCCGGGCATGGTGGCACACACGTGTGGTCCCAGCTATTCGGGAGGCTGAGGCAGGAGAATTGCTTGAACCTGGGAGGCGGAGGTTGCAGTGAGCCGAGATCACGCCACTGCACTCCAGCCCGGGAGACAGTGCGAGACTCTGACTCAACAACAACAGCAACAACAAAATTAGGAATAGATATCTTGTTTTGAGAGAATTTGAGACCTGTTATCTCTTAGTTTTTACCTTTTTCTATCTCAGAGGAAGCCAATATCTACTGTTTGATGTTAGTTATCTTTAACATTTAAAAAAAACCCTGTTATTAGGAAGTATGGTAGATATATTTAAATTTTTACCCTTCTTTTTGCTAACTGAAAATATATGTGTGCCCTAAAAGAGGTTTTTAGTTTTGCAAGGTAAAGATTTTATTTCTGTATTTTATTTTGTGTGAATTATTTAGTCTTTGAAATACTCTGGGCATTGGCTTAGAGATACATAGTCTAAGTTACATGTGAATTCTAGTTTACTTTGTATCTAGTAAAAAAATTTGGCTTTCAGTATTATTTAAGGCTGTAATGTCAGTTAAAGGAATTATTTGTTTTTGTAGATATATTGCATAGACTTTGTGTATAAGCTTCTTTCAGTGATGATTTATAATTTTGATAGTTTATCTTTTTAATATGTAAAACTTTAATTTTGTTTAGAGAAAAAGATTTAGAACTCAGGGTTGCAGCGTCTGGAGCACAAGACCCTGAGAAATCGGTAAGGGTTTCTGGCATCTTTTAATGTTTAATCTTTCATCAGATGATCCTCAAATGTGGTGGCAGGTGGGGATAGAAAATATTGGTAGAAAAAGAGAGTAGACCAATTTGAACAGTAATAAAATTAACTAAAACTGTTCTCATAAAGTGTAAATTCTCTTAACTGTTATTTCCTTGACATCATTTTTCCTTTTTCATTTGCGTGTCATTTTTTAAAGTTTATTTTAAATTAGTTATCTCTGCTTTGTTCACACGTACTATTCCATGGAGAGTTATCTTGGTTAAATTTATAATTGATGTTAATATTTTTCTTGAATACATCTTTTTTTTTTTTTTTTTTTGAGACGGAGTCTCGCTCTGTCGCCCAGGCTGGAGTGCAGTGGCCGGATCTCAGCTCACTGCAAGCTCCGCCTCCCGGGTTCACGCCATTCTCCTGCCTCAGCCTCCCGAGTAGCTGGGACTACAGGCGCCCACCACCTTGCCCGGCTAGTTTTTTGTATTTTTTTAGTAGAGACGGGGTTTCACCGTGTTAGCCAGGATGGTCTCGATCTCCCGACCTCGTGATCCGCCCGTCTCGGCCTCCCAAAGTGCTGGGATTACAGGCTTGAGCCACCGCGCCCGGCCTTGAATACATCTTGATCACTTACTTTTCTTATATTGGAATGATTTCTGAGAAAACCGAAGACTTTATTTTTAAAGCATTTTAGTAATTGTTACTTATTGTAACATTAGAGAGATAATAATCTTATTTTTACTTGAATTTTGCAATTCTCATCATTAAGTGGAATGAATTACTCACATCATTGCAGTTAAGTAAGGAGGAGGTAATTTATTGTTTTTACCACAATTTATTTTTTCTGTGTTTTTACCACAATTTATTTTTTCTGTAGTTGGTTATGTAGTATTTATTTCTAATACAAGTCTTGTTTCATCTTTGAATGATGATTAAGACCTTTAATTTCATTAAAAAGCTCATTCTTAAAAAGGATGCAGCAACTTAAAATTATTTACCTATAGGCAACTTTTGATTTGCTTTTACTTATGCCGAGAATATATCCTGTGGGTTATCTGTTTGGAAAAGTTTAATATTGCACCAGCATCACTCACAGTACGCTTCTAGGTTAACCTGAGAAATCATTCCTGATAACCATGGTAGAAAAAAAAGAAGATAAATTTCAAAGCTAAATATATTTTATCAATCAAAAGTTTCCTTTTAAAAGGTGAGCTTTTTAAGGTAATATGTTGGCATGTTAAATTTTGTATTTATGGTTACACTAGTGTGTGACAGACTTTATTTATCTTTGAATTGAAGCTCCTATAGAGTGTCAAGTTGATTTATGAGAATAAATAAGTAATTAGAGGAAACAGGCCTTTATTTTTGGGTTTACTTTAGATGTGCAAATCTTAGAAAAGGGCATATAAGTGATGTTCTAAAGTAGAGATTAGCAAAGTGTGGCCTGTGGCCAATTTTTTTTGCTGCCTGTTTTCATAAAAAACAGTTTTGTTGCAGCACAGCCTTGCTCATTCGTTGACATACTGTTTGTGGCTGCTTTAGCACTATGGCTGAGTCTGCTTGTTATGAAGAGACTATGTAGTCTTGCAAATCCTATTTACTGTCTAGCCCTTTACAGAAAGCATTTGCTGACCCTGTTTTACATAATACTTTGTAACAGATAACAGAAATGGCGGTTAGAGAAGTAGCACAGTGTCCCAGTACATAGAAATAATACTGCAGATATATTTAAAATTAATATCTGACTCTGGTCTTTACTTAATTCTTTACTAATAACGAGACCTTAGGTGGTATATTACTTCTCAGAGAACCTCAATTACCCATTTATAAAATAAGCATTAGATATTGAGAATCTGGCCGGGCGCAGAAGCTCACACCTGTAATTCCAGCACCCTGGGAGGCTGAGGCAGGCGGATCACTTGAGGCCAGGAGTTTGAGACCAGCCTGGCCAATGTGGCGAAACACCCTTCTTCACAAAAATTAGCTGCGCGTGGTAGCAGATGCCTGTAATCCCAGCTACTCTAAGTCTGAGGCAGGAGAATTGCTTGAACTCAGGAGGTGGAAGTTGCTGTGACCTGAGATCGTGCCATTGCTTTCCAGCCTGGGCGACAGAGTGAGACTCTGTCTCAAAAGTAAATAAATAAATAAATATTCAGAGTCTTTTATAGCTGTAAAATTCCATTATTCAATAAATAAATAAATAAAAATAGATATTTGGAGTCTTTTATAGCTGTAAAATTCTGTTATTCTGTGACTGTCTTAAGTACCTGCTGGGATAGGAGGTCTTTTGAAGTCCCTTCTACCTTTAAACTTATGATTATATGTAACAAACAGATTTTTTTTTCTTTATTTTAGCCTGATAGACTAAAGCAGTTTAGTGTGGCACCAAGACACTTTGAAGAGATGATACCACCTGAAAGACCCAGAATAGCTTTCCAGACACCTCTCCCTCCTTTATCTGCCCCATCTGTCCCACCCATCCCATCAGTTCATTCCGTTCCTTCTCAAAATGAAGATTTGCGCAGTGGACTCAACAGCGCCTTTGGTGAAATGGTGTCTCCCAGGTGCTTGTTTAAATGTTTTGTGTGTGGGAATTAGGTAAGGTATTGCTATATTTTATGTTTAGAAGGATGTGCTGAAGCGGATAACGTTATTCTTCAGAGATTTTGTACAGTTAACAGTTTTGTGAAATAAGTTCTCCTGAAATTTGTTTTTTTCTCTGCTATTACAAAAATAAGGGAAATTCTTAAAACATTTTATTGTTTAAAGATGATTTTGTATCTTTAGAATGAATTACTAAGTACATTTTAGTGTTTACTTACTTTTAGGTCGTATTTTGGGATGTCTGTTTTTGATATCTTTTAACATATAAAAGTTGTACATTTTTTTCAATTTCGTTGTTTCCACTTGGCAAACATTGAATTCTTCAATTTGTGCAGAAAAAGTTTCTAATGTGGCTCTTTTATACGTATAATTTTATTTAGCTTCTGTTTCCTTCAGCTCATTCTCTGTGATTACTTATGGGCTGTGTAACTCAAATGCCTGAAATAAAAAGTGTTGAGATTATAAAACCTGTAATTTAGGTATTGGGGTAAAGATTTGATTTCTATAGGTAAAAGGCTATAATAGAGTATACATAAAGAAAATCCTGTTGTTAACACTGATATTTTCTGGGCTATACTTTCTTCTTTGCAGGACCTGGGCTTATTTTTTGTTCACTGGTAGTATATTAATTATAGAATATATTTAAATTTAGAGGTGTTTTTCTTAACTTTTTTGAACATTGATATTTTCTGAACTATATTATTTCAGTAGAAGTGGGTCTTTTAGTTACTAACCCACTGTAGAACTGTGTTTACTGTACTTACCAGGGGCTTTGTGTTTTTCATCTGTTGGCTTCCTGACTCAAGAATAGGAGGGATTGGAATTGACAGAGCATTTTATGGTGGTCTCAGCATTGAATTAGGGATTGAAATGGTTGGCTTTCCTCTCTGGATTTTGGACAAACCACACCTTTGTTGAACTTCAGTTTTCTCATTTGTAAAAGTGGAGTAGTAGTATATTTTATTTCATGTTTACAATTACAGGGTTGTGAAGATTAGTTTGTATAAATCTCTATAAAATTAGATTTAATGATAATGACAGCTCCCTTTCATAACAGTTATTTGACATTTTTGTTTATGTATCTTTGTTGTGAGGATAGTGTAAGGGTTAGACACATTGAGTGGCTAGTAAATATGAAAGATATTCCCTACTGAAGAGAACTTCAGGGCCTTCTTAGTTCTTTGGAATTATTTTGAAGTATATGACAAGGGAGAACCTGTTAAGATACATACAACAGTGAGAACATTCAAGAATGCTGCTATCTCTTTCTATTCATTTAAAGGAATTTGCCTTTGCCATTTTTACTACTGAAAAATACTGCATTGATGGAAATACAGAGATATTTCCTAATCAGTAATGAAGTGCTAATGTAGAGGTTTTCAGAAGTTTTACATTTATGAAATACTAAAGATTATGTCAGTACTTTACTTTTGGTATTTAAGTCGCTTTTATTTTACTATTAAGAAATACACTCGTTTCCTCAGTCAGACTGAACCATTTGTACTTACACTGTTTTGTAGCTCTTTGCCTTCTCTTTCTGGATTGTCCTTCCTCTAACACACACAAGCTCACTCCAGTAGCATGACTTAAGCGTTGCCTCTTCTGGAAAGCCTTACATGTGCTTGCTTTCTCTCCCTCATGTGGTTTAAATGTCCCTGCTCCTGTACCTATAGCACTCTACGTTTTCTGGGCTATATTACTATTTAATTTAATTTGCTTGTACTAATAATTATTTAATTTGCTTGTACCTGACTGTAGTTGTTTATTTTCATGTTACTCCTGAGGGACAGGGACCATGTCTGTCTTTATTTGATACTGGCACATTGTGCCTATTGGATATTAATTGGTTGAATATTAAGCCAGGTTTTTGTCTTACATAAATGTACCTGAAATTGTGAAATCCTATGTAATAGTATTTGCTTTTTGAGTCATAATTTTTGATGAATGATTGGAGCAAGGTGGTGACTTTTTCTAAAGTAGTGATAGGATTTTCAGTACTGTTTTTGCAAAAGAGTAGTATCTTGATTTTTTAAAAAAAATTGCCATGAAACAAGAGAGGAATTTTTCATTTTTATTTTCATACAGGATTGCACCTCTGCCTCCACCTCCCCTACTACCACCTTTGGCTACTAACTATCGAACTCCTTATGATGATGCATACTATTTTTATGGGGCCAGGAATACTTTGGATCCCAGTCTTGCTTATTGTAAGTTATCTATAGGGTAAGCATTTTCTCCCCCCATGGCTCAATAAGGAAAATTGTTTTTTTGTGTAAACAAAAAATATCTAAATGAGAAAAGCACAGCTTTGCTTAATTCAGATGTTATATATTGACTTAATAAATGCCCTATTTTAAAGCCCAGTTACATTTTATAGTTACTTCCTTTTCATCTCTATTTAAGAAATAACGATTGTGTTTTCTTATGCTGTTCTTTGCTAACTTCTAACCCAGAAGGAAATATTGATGGTTTTCCCTAGGTAACATTTTGATTATGTACCTTTTTCTGGAGGAATAAATAAAATGTTATTAAATGGTTATTCTAAATAAACTTTTTTTTTCTTTTTTCTTTAAGATGGTTCAGGAATGATGGGCATACAGCCTGCAGCTTATGTTAGTGCTCCTGTCACCCACCAACTAGCGCAACCTGCTGTGTAAGTTATTAGTTAAAAGAATAATTTTTCCCCACTTTTATTTTGTAAAGATACACAAAACCTAAAAGCCACCATCCTAACATTTTAAAGTATACTATTTAGTGGTATTTAATATTTTCATAATGTGCAACCATCACCACAGTCCATCTTCAGAACTCTTTTTGTCTTGTAAACTGAAACTCTATACCCATTAAATAATAATGGTGTACCTCCCCATTCCCCTACCCCCATTCTCTGGTAACCACCATTCTATGTCTCTGATTTTGACTACTCCATGTACCTCATATTGAATGGAATCATACAGTGTTTATCTTTTTGTGACTGGCTTATTTCACTTTGCATAATGTCCTCAAGGTTCATCCGTCTTTTAGCATATTTCAGAGTTTCTTTCCTTTTTAAGGCTGAATTATAATCCATTGTAATTGTATACATTTTGCTTATCTAAAATCTATCCATTTATCCATTAGTGGACACTTTGGGTTGCTTCCACATTTTGGCTATTTGTGAATAATGCTGCTGTGAACATAAGTTTACAAATATCTCTTTGAAATCTCGTTTTCAAGTTTTTTGGTTCTGTACCCAGAGCTGGAATTGCTGGGTCATATGGTAATTCTATGTGTAATTTTTTTAAGAACTACCGTACTGTTTTCCACAAGTGCTATACTTTTTTATATTCTCACCAATAGGGCACAAGGGTTCCAATTTCTTCACATCTTTGCCAATATTTATTTTCTTTTTCTGTTTTTATAGTAACCATTCTAATGAGTATAAGATGGTATTTCATTGTAGTTTAAATTTGCATTTCCCTAATGATTAGTGAGGTTGAGCATCTTTTCATATGCTTATTGGCCATTTGTATATCTTCTTTGGAGAAATGTCTTTTCAAGTACTTGCCCATTTTTTAATTAGGTTGTTTATTTTTTGTTGTTGAGCTTTCAGAGTCCTCCATATTACCTGGTTATTAATACTATGTCAGGTATTTGATTTGGAAATATTTGCTCCCATTCTGTGTTGATATTGCCTTTTGATGCATAAAATTCTTAAATTTTCATAAAGTCCAGTTCATCTGTTTTTATTGTTGTTGCCTATGCCTTTGGTGTCATGTGTGAGAAATCATTGCCAAATCCAACATCCTGAAGCTTTTGCCCCATTTTTTCTTGTGAGAGTTTTATAATTTTAGGTCTTATGTTTGAGTCATTTTGAGTTTATTTTTTAATGGTATTGCATAAGGGTTTGTCTTAGTTATTTTGTAAGTGGATATTCAGTTTTCTTAGCACCATTTGTTGGAAAGACTATCCTTTCTGCATTGAGAGATACTGGCATTCTTGTTGAAAATCATTGGACCAAATATACGAGAGTTTATTTCTGGGCTATTTATCCTTTTCCCTTGGTGTGTATGTCTTCCTTTATCCCAGTACCTTAGTATTTTGATTACTGTTGCTTTGAATGTTTTGAAATCAGAAAATGTGAGTCCTCTATCTTTGTTCTTTTTCAATATTGTTTTGGCCATTTTGGATTCCTGGAGATTCCGTATGAATTATAGGATGAGTTTTTCTATTTCTGCAAAAAAGTCATTGTGATTTTGGTAGTGAGTGTATTGAATCTTTGGGTAGTTTTGACATTTTAACAGTGTCACGTCTTCTGATCCATGAACATAAGATATATGTCCATTTATTTATGTCTTTTAAAATTTCTTTCAGCAATATTTCATAGTTTTCATTGTATAAGTATACGTCTTCCACTTCTTTAGTTAATTCCTAAGTATTTTATTCTTTTTGCTGCTTTCATAAATGGAATTCCTTTCATAATTTTCTTTTCAAATTGTTCATTGTTAGTGTTTAGAAATGCAGCTGATTTTTGGGTGTTGACTTGTATCCTGTTACTTTACTGAATTCATTTATTTTAATAGTTTTGTTGTAGAATCTAGGATTTTCTGCAAATAAGATGGTAAGATCTGTGAACAGAGATAATTTTACTTTTTCTTTCTGATTTGGATACTTTTTATTTTATTTTATTTTATTTTTGAGACAGAGTCTTACCCTGTCACCCAGGCTGGAGTGCAATGGTGCGATCTGGGCTCACTGCAACCTCCGCCTCCTGGGTTCAAGTGATTCTCCTGGCTCAGCCTCCTGAGTAACTAGGGTTAAAGGCGTGCACCACTATGCCTGGCTAATTTTTTGATCTTTAATAGAGATGGGATTTCACCATGTTGGCCAGGCTGGTCTCGAATTCCTGACCTTGTGATCCGCCCGCCTCAGCCTCCCAAAGTCCTGGGATTACAGGTGTGAGCCACCACACCCGGCCCCTTATTTTTCTTTCTTAATTACTTTTTTAATTATCCTGACTAGAGCTTCCAGTACTACGTTTAATAGAAATGGCTAAAGTGGGCATCCTTGCCTTATTCCTGATCTTAGAGGAAAAGTCTTTCACTGTTGTATATGATGTTTGCTGTGGGTTTTTCATATATGGCTTTTATTATGTTGAGGTAATTTCATTCTGTTACTAGTTTGTTGAGTTTTAATAATGCAAGTGTTAAATTTTGTCAAATGCTTTTCTGTATTGAGATGATCATGTTGGGTTTCCCCTTTATTCTTTTAATGTGGTATATTGATTGATTTTTTTTATGTTTAACCATAACCATCCTTGTTTTCCAGGAATAAATTCCACTTAGTCATGGTGTATAATTATTTTAATATGCTGCTAGATTTGGTTTGCTAGTATTTTGTTAAGGAGTTTTGCATCAGTGTTCATATGTGGTCCTGTTGTAGTTTCCTTATGGTGTCTTTTTCTGGCTTTGGTATAAGCACAATGCTGGGCTTATAGAAAGAATTAGGAAGTGTTCCCTCCTCTTGAACTTTTTGAAAAAGTTTGAGAAGGGTTGATATTAGTTCTTCTTTAAATGTTTGATAGAATTCACCAGTGAAACCATAAGGTACAGGGCTTTTCTTTGTTGGGCGATTATTGATTACAGATTCAGTCTCTTTAGTAACTAGTTATAGGTCTATTCAGATTTTATTTTTCTTCATGATTTAGTCTTGATAGGTTTTTATTTCTAGGAATATGTCCATCTCATCTAGGTTGTCCAGTTTGTTGGCATATAATTGTTGATAATATTCCCTTACAGTCCTTTCTTATTTTCAGAAGATTAATAGTGATGTCCCTTTGTGAATTTCTGATTATATTTTATTTTTTATATTTACTTATTTATTTTTCTGACCTCATTCTTTCCATCATAGAATTCCTGATTTTAATAGAAGATTCAGAGCCTTCTTGTTGTTCAGTGTAGCTAAACATTTGTCAATCTTGTTGGTCTTTTCAAATAACTGTTGGTTTGGTTGATTTTTTTTTTTTTCTGTTGTTATTCTAGTTTTGATTTCATTGATTTCTGCTGTAATCTTTTAAATTTCCTCCCTTCTGCTTACTTTGGGTTCCGTTTGCTCTCATTTTTTCTGGTTTCTAGAGATGAAAATCTAGATTATTGATTTGGTATCTTTCCCTTTGTTTGGTATATATACTTAACAACTATAAGCTTTCCTCTTAGTACTGTTTTAGCTACATCCTTTAAGTTTTGATATGTTGTCTTTTCACTTTCATTACTCTCGAAATATTTTCCAATTAAAAATTTCTTCATCAACCTGTTGGTTATTTTGAAATGTGTTGTTTAATTTCCACATAATTGTGAATTTCCCAAGTATCCTTCTGTTACTCATGTCTAATATAATTACGTTGCAGTTGGAGAACAAACTTTGTATCATTTCATTCAGTCCTTTTTAATTTATTGAGGCTTATTTTAAGACCTAACGTAGTCTGTCCTGGAGAATGTTCCACATGCACTTGAGAAGAATGTGTATTATCCTGTTGGTGTGTGTATTATTCTGTAAGTGTCTCTTAGATCTGGTTGGTTTATAGTGTTATTTCTTGTATTTCCTTGTTGATCTTGTGTAGTTGTTCTGTTATTAGAAGTGAAGTATTTAATCTCCAACCATTACTTTGTGTGTGTGTATGTTCTGATATACAGTCTTGCTGTGTGTGTGTGTGTGTATTCTGATATACAGTCTTGCTCTGTCGCCCAAGCTGGAATACAGTTGTGAGACCATAGTTTGCTGTAGCCTCAACCTTCTGGGCTCAAGCAATCCTCCTACCCCAGCCTCCTGAGCAGCTAGGACTACAGCCATGTGCCACTGCGCCTGACTGATTTGTTTATTTTAGAAACAGGGTCTCCCTGTGTTGCCCAGTGTGATCTTGAACGCCTGGCCTCAAGCGATCCTCTTGCCTCAGCCTCCCAAAGTACGAGGAATACAGCCATGAGCCACCACACCCGGACTCCAGCTATTATTCTTGACTTGTCTATTTTTCTCTTCAATTCTGTCAGTTTTTGTTTCATTTCTTAGGTCTCTCTTTATATGCATATGTTTATAATTGTGTCTTACCGAAGATTTGACCCTTTTATTAGTATCAGAGAGTCTTCTGTGTCTCTGCTAATAGTTTTTTTGTCATAAAGTGCTTTTAGTTCTAATATAAATGTTGCTTTTCTGGTTCTCTTTTAGTACTGTTTGCATGGTGTATGATTTTTCATATTTACCCTCAATTTATTTGTGTCTTTGAATCTATAAAGATGTCTCTATATAGACAGAATGCAGTTACTTCCTGGTTTTTATGTTTGCCATTTTGCAATTTTTTTCTATATGTCTTATGTCTTTTTATTCCTTTAATCTTCCTTTATTACCTTCTTTTTCTTCTTCCTTTTTTTTTTTTAAGAGACAGGGTCTCATTCTCTCGCCTAGGCTGGAGTGCAGTGGTGTGATCACACAGCTCATTTGCAACCTCAAACTCCTGGGCTCAAGCAATCCTTCCACTCCAACCTCCCAAGGAGCTGGAACTACAGGCACATGCCACTACGCCTGGCTAAATATTTGTATATTTTGTAGAGATGGGATTTTGCCATGTTTCCTAGTCTGGTCTCAAACTTCTGGCTCAAGTGATCCCAGCCCCACAAAGTG